TTTCTGTGCTATTTATTTTCAATCTGTTTATTATTGATACACAAGACTTATGTTTTGTATTGAAGTCTAGCTTTTGTATTGAATTTTTAAAAGGCAATCATCGAGTGATGCACTCGTAGTCTATTGACTGGGAGTATGGAGTTTCAAATATTTAGTGAAGAGTGTTATTGAATGGTTTCTAATGTAAAATCCAAACCATAACAATAAATTTAAATAATAACAATAACAACGATGTCTAAAATTTTACAAATTTTTTCATAAAATAATTGTTTGATATGGAAATAGTTGGAATAGTTGTGTGGTTGAACAGAGCACCGGTATATTTTTTTATTAGCCGATCGTTTTTTTGAATTGTTGTGGCAAATGTTTGATAGTGTTGGCACTGTTGGACTGTTTCAGTAATATATTTGTTGTTCACCGCAAATATCTTTTTACATCTTTTTTCTGTCCAATGGGTGGTCTGTTTTGTGGCCCTTGGGTTCAGTTGGGTCTCGGCCTCAATAATCGTTTGGTGTGGCAATAGTGTGCCACTAATATTGAGTGTAAATTACGGCACAAGAAGCCGATTGCTTATATTTATATGTTATGTGTATATACTGTATGTATGTGTATACATGTGTGTGTGTGTGTGTGTGTGTGTAGGTATGTGCCATTGAATGTGTTGGCTCACAGGTCTGCACAGGTGTGCAATTGATATATTGACTGGTTATATATGTTATGCTGTTATATACGTGTTAAACGTCTATTCAAATTAATGAATATAACGAGAGATTTGTATAGAAACCACACGAGAGACAAGTCTAATGAATAATGACTTTTCTCTTTTAAAATATTAATTTTTCTCATTCCTATAGCACTGATATATTAAAACCATTGCAATGTTACATATAATGTATATATATTTTCTCACCTAAAGTATAATCAATAATACGGTTGCACTTCAATTACACTAATATTTTCAGTTAAATAACTTTCGAGAAAATTTAATTTTTATTTTCTTATAGAGATTTCTCTGAGAAAAAAGTGAGATATCATCCTTTGGCGGTCCTTTAGCTGCCCTGTCATACAAAATATTGATGGAGACACCCAACTGAGTCCCAACACCATCAAGATTTAACGTATTAAGTATTTAAGTATTTTATATCTCAAAGTTGTGCCGCAATAAAAATTGTTACATCAATTGTTTCCCTTTATTATTCAATAAATAATAAAAATAATGATAAATAAATGAATCAATGAATTGAATGAATGGATGAATGAATCAATGAATGAGTGAATGAATGAATAACCGAACAAAACTATAATATAATATTAAACTAATTCCAAAAACTTTAGTTTAATGTCAATTGACATACAATATTAAAACCGTTTACAACAAACATTAATAAACAACTGATAACAAAATTTTTGTTTAAAAAGATTTTGTTTTACACATAGATTGATAAGGAAAACAACGTAATGTTTAAGTGATTGTATGTTTTAAACATATTTTTGTGCTTTGATTTGTTTTTTGACGAAATTCCTTTAGCAGTCAATCAAACAAATTATTTGGCATTTCGTAAAACACACGAAGAATTGTGTAATATTTATGGCAAACATGCAATACATTAGACAAACAACAATCTAATAATCAATTGCTTTGGGCTTTTGGCTGATAAATTGCTGCCAAAAGAAAGGGAAAGACAGACAGAGAGAGAGAGAGAGAGAGAGAGAGAGAGAGAGAGAGAGAGAGAGAGAGAGAGAGAGAGAGAGAGAGAGATTGTTTGTATATTTGTTCAGTTTTTCCCTAACATAAACTCTTTAATGATTGTAACTTTAAGTTAAAATTATTTAAACACATATATCGGAGAAAAACCATATAATATACTGTATATGACAACATAGTTTACAATATATGCACAATATATTATATGAGCTTTATATTTATGTCGAGCCCCTCAATAATCCTGTAATATTTCAAGTATTTTCTTATTTTTGTAATACATATGCAATTATATCTTTTATATTATATATATATAGTATAGTCTTAATCTTTTAAAATTACCTAAAGTTTTATTACATTAATTACTTTTTAATAAATAAAAAAGAAATAAATGTAAAATTTTGAAGGTTAGGGTATTTTAATAGAGTGAGAAAATAATAAAATATATATAAGTTTTAAAAGTTTTTATCACTAAAAATAGATATCCATATAAACAAAATATAAATATTGTTATATAATAAAACAAAGTCAAGTAATCAGTTAAATGCATTGAAAAAATATACAAATAAATAATTGTAAAATAATACGGTGTCAGGCGTTTAAATAAGTTAATCGATATTTTTTTTATTTAACTAAAAAAACATAAATTGTATGCACAAGAAAAACAAAAGTTTAAATCAAAGAATATATTATTTGAAAAATAGTAAAACCCATTGAATACGAAAAATAGTAATTCAGTATTTATTATAAGGGAAGGGCTGGTGTGTTGTTGTAGTTTGGGATGGGATGCTGTGATGCTTGCTTTCCTGCTGACTGTTTGACATTGTAAGACAATTATGTTGTGATAACACTTGATAGTTGGTGTGTTTGAATCATTAACCTCTACCGGAGCGGCAGAATACCAGTTCTCATTGCGTATACATTATTTTGAGTGCAATTTCTTGTGATATAATAGTCACACACAATATATTTATGTAATTTCTCTCTATCTTTCTCTGCACGACATGAGTCTCTTGAAGAATGTGATCTCCTCTTAGACATCAAATAAGCCGTTCAATGGTATCAAACAGTTTTTCAGTTGCGGCATATTTTTGCTAATATCTAATGCCATATTATTAATAATAATAATACAATTGAAAATTAGACAATTGAAATAATGAAAATAACATAACAATTATTGTATACATTTGTGTGTTGTTGAACACTATAAGTATTATCTATAAGATGGCAAAAATAGCTGACAAAATAGTTTGCTTTTAAAAGGTTTCAAAAAGCCTTGTTTTTAAAAAAAAGCCGTTTTGTCTCAAAACATACCGCAAAATATTACTAATATTATGAACGAAATCGCTATAACCGCTTAATATTGAATGTAAATATCTTTTTTTAAATCTACTTAAAGACTAAACAACTGTCACTATTATTACAGTTCACTTTCATTTTAATCAATATCAACACTTAATATACATAACAGGTATTTATTGACTGTTGCAATAATTTATGGTTTGTCTAAAAAGGGGTAATAAAGTCGATAATTTGACCACTGGTATAGCCTAAAGGCATCCGAGTGTATATGTGTTGTGTCGTTACAAATGCTTTTGTCAATTAACTAAATATTTCTGTCAAAAAATTGTTTTTTGTAAAATACAAGAAGTCTTTTCAATAAAATTAAATCTTACCGTTACTGACATGTGATCATCCAATTGAATCTCTCATAAGATAATAATACATACAAATAACAACATTTGTTATTTGGTGAACATCTCACTGGAAACCCCTCTTAAAACAACTTTGTGTCAAATGTCTGATCTGAGACTTGATCTCTTAACTGACAAATTTGCTCACATCTGACATATCAATGAAAGGTAAGCCCAGATGAACGTGAGGTCACAAGCGGTGCTTAGATCACAGCACAAGTATTTGTGTTTTTCAATTTTTTTTTAAATACCAGCACCACTTAACTCAATAAATCTGTTTTAATATAATATATCTATACCTGTATATTGCAAACTATTGCAAACTAAACCCAACATTTGGCTAATAGTTTTTTCTTAGAGAAAATAAATAAAGTATTATTTAAAGTATACAAAAATTATTTAAAAAAGAGATTTAAATTGAGAGAGAAATCTTAGGGATTCATTGCGTTAAAGTTTTAGTTATATACAGTATTTATATATATATTTTTTGCAAACAAATCTGCACTAAACTCGAGAAAACAGATAAATATTATTTAACAAATAACTTAATATTTTGAAATATGAGATCTCAACTATTAGTTTGATATCTCAACAATATATTATATTTAAAGCAATAAAAAATGCAAACCAATTATAGACTATTTAGGATATAATATATATGTGTTGTTAATCGTATATATATATAATTTTTAACAATTTGGTTTACAAAAAAAAATCATTTTGTTTAAAATAGCAAAACTTATGACTTATTTTTAGATAAAAAAAATTCGTTCATAATTTTGTGATTCATTGCTCTCATCGTTATATGAAAATATAAAATAACTTTTTTTTAAAGAAAAAAACTGATATATAAATTATTTTAAAAGAATTTTTGGCATAAAAATAATGTTTGGATTAAATATAAAAAAATAAATTGTGCACAAAATACATGTTTTTTAAATTAAAGAAAAAAATATTTTTGCAAATCTTTAAGCGTTATATGAATTCTGATCTTTGAATGAAAAATTACGGGCAATTTATCAATCAATTTAATTGAAAAATTCTGGTATTACTTTTTTTTAAAATTGATTCATTCAAATTAGTAATAATAATAATAATAATAATAATAATATAGGGTATTCATTAACTAATCTTTTAGTCTAATATATATAAATACAGTTTATTTTATTGATTGTATTATCAAATTAATCAAACACTATGTGATATCATTTGCAAAAAATGAACTAATTTTGTACTAACCTTAAAATAATCAATGAATTACAAGTTTATAACAAATGTTACAAAATTTTATTCACACAAAAATCAAATTTATACTAACTGTATATACAATATAAATTGTGATAAATAAGCAAGGTCAATTATACTAAACCATTGATTAATTAATTTAATTATTATTAAAGAGAAACGCATTAAAAGAAATTTCAATTAAATTCAGTTTTTCTTTGATATCAATTTATACAAAATTTTTTAAATGTTTTCAATTATTTTGTATTTAATTTAAACTGAATGTTAAAGTAAACAATTGAAAGACATTTATAGCCATCTGTTAAGTGAATAACAAAATACTTTGTAATATGTATTACAATATTATATTAGTTATCATATGATTGGAGACAATCATTAAATTATTATAAAGTTATTTAATTGATAGCAATCATAGTAATCACACATTGATGTGATCAACGAAGAGACCACCGATTGTCTCAATAATTGCAACATTTTTTTTTGACAAAATGTCGGATAAAGACGACTCTTTACCCGAGACACGGGTCACAAGTGCTGACCAGTCATTTAGTAGCGAACAACAGATCATATGTTCTATAATTCCCGGACTCAGTAATACCGCCCATAAGGGACAGTGCGGTCGCATCGGTGTTATCGGCGGATCCATTGAATACACAGGCGCTCCATATTTTGCGGCCATTTCTGCACTTAAAGTGGGTGCCGACCTGTCGTATGTGTTTTGTAGCCGAGAGTCTGCACCGGTAATAAAGTCCTACTCACCCGAACTTATAGTTTACCCAACGTTGGACTCGGACACCGCTGTCGATGAAATTGTTGTGCAACTGCCTAAACTACACGCAGTTGTAATAGGACCGGGACTCGGACGCAATGACCAGACACTGGCCAATGTCGGTGCTATTATTGATAAAGTGAAAGAATTGAATCTTCCGATGATATTAGACGCCGACGCTCTGTATTTTGTGTCCAAATGTCCAGAAATAGTGAGGGGATATACGAAAGCTATTTTGACGCCAAATGTGGCCGAATTTGACCGCTTGTATGCTTCGGTATATCGGTGTGAGTCAAACAAGAATGACAATCCAAATGAAGCACTTATACATTTGGCAAAGACTTTGGGTAACATTACAATTGTCCGAAAAGGATATGAAGATGTCATCAGTGATGGCAATTCACTCGTCACATGCAATGATATGGGAAGTCCTCGTCGATGTGGAGGACAGGGAGACTTATTGGCCGGTTCTATGGGTGTATTCGCTTATTGGAGTCACAAAGCATTTGAAAATAATAGCTCTTCCAGTGATTTAAATCGTCAACAATTGAGTCCAACAATAATAGCCGCTTTGGCCGCCTCTATGCTGACCCGACGGTGCGCTCGCTTAGCTTTCGCTAAATGGGGCAGAAGTACGACAACTACTGATCTAATCAAAGAAATTAAATCTTCTTTCACTTCATTATATCCGATCGACTAATAATTAATTTATTATAGAGTTATCGGCTTTTGTTTACTAATTATTGGTAACATTATTGATGTAAAAATTAATTTCTTATATTTTATTTTATAATTTTTTATCTAATCTATAAATAATTTTTATAATATTTTTCAAGTTATATCGAAATAAATAGCTATATTTTAATTAAAACTAATTTTATTTACAAATAATTACATTTTTATGAACTTAAAAATCACTCTTTATTAAGTCAACAAATGGTTAACTTGTAGTTAATAATTATAATCAAATATAATTTGTATGTTATATAAGATCATTCGTTAAATTAATTGATTAAATTCACTTAAAATCAATTCTTGCAAATCATGTATTCTTAAATTTTTAAGTTATTTTGACTCAATTACAGAAATGATGATTTGATTTCAAAATTATAATTAAATCATCAATACTTTGAATTGTATTTCATTTTTGGTGTCATCAAAATAATTAAATGAATTATATAAAAATTATTGCTCACTATTTAATGAATGGCAACTTATAATAAAATTTAAAAAATAAAATTAACATATATTACAAAAATATGTAAATTATAATTAATATTTCTAATGAGTATTTCATTTCTATCAATTGAAATAATTCTATGTACGATAATATTAAATAAAATATATTCAAAAACTTAACAAAAAATATATAAATAAATAAACGGAATGATTGAATGACTGTCTAAAAAATCTTATCATTAAAAATCTTTAATTATATAATAATAGTTTCGTTGCAATTCTTGAATACCGTTGTTGTTGTTGTGGTTGAAGAAGTGGTACTATAATTATTAATAGATTCCATACTTGAGGAAGACTCAGATCTTTGTCTATTAAAAATAGTATTCGAGTAATGATAGTCTTCATCCCTAAGAACACCATTGTTTGTTTGTGTTTCTTCGTCAATGTATTGAATAAACGCTCGTCGATTGCGACATTGATGGCACTTCTGTGTCTTTTTAAACCTCCTTTCTTTATCTCTTTCCTCTAATACTTTTGCCATTATAGCTGCCGACACATAATCGGGACAACCATTTGATTCGTTTTGATGATTGTTTAGTTTATTATTGCTTAATGGAAGCGATTCTTCATTTGTTTTATTAACTGAATAAAACATAGCCGTCGGAGGGAATGTCGGTATTGGCACTCGTATGACTCGCGCGCCGTTATTCGTCTCAGAATTGTTGGTCACTCCAGTCATATCAATTACCGTTGAATTGCATGGATTACTTCTTGATCGTCGGTGATTCAATTGAAGCTTTACTTTTTCTTGAATATCTGGCGGCAACTATACATAAAAAAGTGTAAAAATTAAGATATAGTTAAAAACCAAATAAAAATAAAATATAAGACATACGGCATTAAACTTATGAGACACAAAATTTGATGGTTTGCATTGTAATAATTGAATGGCAATATTGCAATCATTCTTGTATTGATCGCTCTCCTCTTCCATCTCAGCCATCGATACGCGAGCGTCGACGAGTCGATTGGTCAGTTCAGTGACATCTCTGGTCAGCACAACCTTATCGTTTTCAAACTTATCGGCGATTCTCAACAGTTTGTCTTCTAACCCTTGGTTTACTTTTTGCAATTTTCGGTGACCTTCTAATAATCTAAAAGTTATTATAATAGACATTATGTTAACTCATCCGAAACAACAAATATCAAAAAAAACATTAATGTATTGCATTTCCAGGACATACATACCGTTCATACTTTTCCTGCCAAAAGAGCAGACTTTCTTGCATAGCATTCATCTCTCCATTTGGGAACCGTCTGGCGTGAAGCATAATCTGACTTTCCATAGACATTATATGGAACTCCCTTTCGGTCAGTTGTTTTTTTAGATGTTCAATCTCCCGGTGCAAATGAATTGAGTTATTATTGACGCAACTCTCGCATCGACAGCCGCATTCCTATCCAACAAATATTTATTAAAAAATTAATTTAAATTTAATCAATTTTATTAATTAAAAAATCAAATAAAAGTTTAATAACAGAATATGTATGATAGGAAAGTACCGATTCTTGTGATCTGGGTTTTGGTGGACGAGAAAAAACTGTTATAAGACTTAAATTATTAGAGGCTGAGGCTCTGTCGGTAAATAACATTTTTGTTGTTTTGCAAAAATAAAACGACAATCAATAGGTTATGATAATAATAATAATAATAATAATAATAATAATAAAAGGTTACAATTGTTAAGTTTTTAACATTTATAATGTATCTGTGGTTTTGGTAATTGAAACAATAGGTCAAAACTAAATAAAGATCAGCAAAGGTTACTATATTTCAATTCATATTTTAAATAATAAAATCATTACATTATATCAATTGTATAACTAAATTATTTAAAATAATTCTAATGTTTAATATAAACGTAAAATGAATGCCGAAATCAATTATACGAGCAGAGAGAGAGAGAGAGAGAGAGAGAGAGAGAGAGAGAGAGAGAGGTAGGGCGCACTGGCATTGGTTTGCACTGGTAAGGCATATGTTCACGCAGTGGCCATACATTTCAGATAGGGCTTCAATGTATAAAATAATAGCCAAATTTGGAGCATCGGATCAATTTAATGGGATGTGACTTATGCTCACAATTGTGGGCAAACACTACTAGAGTGAGGACAGTCGTGTCTGCGCTGATCATTACTATCGCAATACAAATCTAACTATATATTAAATAACTTAACAATAGTATATAACATAGCTTTTATGACATTTAATGTTTTATTTTTATAACATAATTCAAGTACAATCAAAGGTTTATTAAAAATTTATTATCATTAAACAAATTGTTGAGAAAATGTGGTTAATTATAAATAATATAATCATTTATTTTTTTAAATCACTGAATTAATGTCAATAATATTATATTACATTTTATCAGTTATTGTTACAAAACAGTTGTCTATTTTATGTCTAATTTATTCATTATATGCTCTCATTTAGTAATATTGTCACACAAAACACTTGTTTCAAATCATTCAAAAAAATTAATAATATAACTATTACTGTATATACCGGTTATAAAATCATTAAATAAAAACAAAAATAGGATTTAAAAATACTGTATAACTTATATAATTAATATTAATAACAAATACCTGACAAACATTTGCTTCCGTTTCAGACATCACTTTAAGGATTCACTAAATTATTAAAGTATAATAAAAATTAATATAATTTATTTTATAAAACAAGTATTTATTATAATAAAATATAAAACAAAATATTGCTGATAAAAGCAAATATTTTTATTATATAACTTACGGTTTATAAAATTGGCAAACTGTGCTTTTTAAAAATAAATATAATTATTATTTATTTTTATAATCAATATTTTTTTAAAATTGTAGATTACTATTAAATATTTAAATTAATATCACAATACAGTATATTATGCTTTAGCATTGTTTAAAAAATATAATGTATAATACACTGTACTATACAGTACAGTATCAATATATAAATGAAAATATTAAGTTCAAACAATCATATGATGTGTTTTACAGTTAGTTAGCAATTATCATAAGTATTGAAAAATATAAATAATTACTGGTTTTCACTATTTTTCAAAAAAAATTAATTTCAAGTTTTTTGTTGTGTTTGTTAAACCAGATTATACTTTATTTTTAAGTATAAGTGAAATACAGTATACAGAGTCTACAGACACTTAATAATACATTATTTAGTGGTTCACTAAAAATTTGGGTCACTTTTTTCAAGTGTCATAATGTTTACAATATATTATACAGTTTGTTGACCACAATATCTAATATAACTTTCATATTATTTTAATAATATTAATAGCAATATTTGCTAAACTTTCAGTTTTAAACAAAAAACAATTGATTTTTAAAAAAAAATTGGCATCAATTTTGAGGTTTAATTTTGGCACTAATTTGAACCACAACTTGACATTTATATATACATACTATTACTTGTCTATCAAATCCAAAGCTGACAATCAAAACATTGATTTAATAGCAAATTAAATAACAAATTAATAACTGATTTTTGCCATCACTTCCAACTCATTCATTGCTATTAATAATTATTATTACAAAATAATGTTATGATTTAAAGCACTGTTTGAGTCATTCATTCATAAATCAGTGAAAATCGCAACACATTTGCTGTTTGTGTTGTGTTTTCGTCACTCAATGTGTGAATACATTTGCCATCTATTGGTAGCAAATAATATGTGTTTATACAGTATTTATAAATAATTTATTAATATTATTAAAATTAAATAAAATTTTTAGTAACAACTTATTGGTTAATAACTAAATAGTTAATTTCAAAATTTTTTTTGTTTATTTAATTTATAGATTTTGATATTTTGTTAATTTATAATAAATATTTAATTAAGGAATGTTTATAAAGTCTAGAAAGTTTGATAATTGCTAAAATGAGCAGTGTCAAATTATTATTTTTATTATATAATTATAACTAATAACTTTAGATATATGTGACTAAAATTCGGGTTTTATTCAATGAAATATTTATATGAAAACATTTTTCTTATTTAAACTTAAAAACGCATAAATAAAAAATATTTAGCTTTTAAAATGTTGCTATAAATTTAAATTAATTCAAATAATGTATTGTTTTTTAGTAGACACTAGAAAATAGTAGAAAATATATCATAAATTTTATGTTATTTGTCTACAAAAATTAACAAATAAAGTTGCATTCATATAAAATACTATTTTTTAAAAATTGAACAAATAATACATAAGAAAAATGTAATTCAACTATTATTTTACAGTTATATGCGAAATATGTGATAATAAATTTATTTGATAATATGTGACTACCTTTCAAAATATGTTGTTATATGTGTTTATGTGACTAAAACTTTTGCTATAATTATTAGTTTTCAATCAATTGTTTATATATCTAATTTTTTTGTTAATATCTTTAATCACTAAAAATATAAGTTATATGTGAAATAAATGCTCTAATAATAACATAGTAAACCAGTTAAATACTTAACAACTAATTCAGATGCAACTCATTTTAGGAATCTATAAAAAATGATACAATATTTGGTATTTAATTTGAAAATTACATATTTTAATATATTGTTATTTTATGAACAATTATTATAAATAATAATAAATTATTCTATATTTTATTTTATTGTATAAATATATAATAATTTAGTTTTAATATTAAATTAACTTTAAGCTCTACGATATTTATCATATTTCTCTATACTTGTTAATATGTTTCTACAATACATACAGTACTAATTTAGTATATATATAAGTATTTATTGAAAAATTATATATTTAAATATAAATTATATATAAATAAAGCTAATTAAAAAATATAATCATTAGAATTATTATAATACTGTATATATAAAACTCTTACAGTAAGAAACAAAAATATTTCTTTTAATGAACGGACTATTAAAATAATTTTTAATTAATATGACACATGTATTATAAAGTACAGTATAATAAAAATTAAAATTATATAAATTACTATTAATATCATATCATATAACTGGTTCAACAATTTTAATACAATTACTTAAAATTGGATTAAATTATTTTGTTGTAAACTTGAAATTTTAGTCATACCTAATGAATAACCATTTAGTATTGAATAATGTACAGTATTTGATAACATCAAATTTTATATATCATTGACTTTCATATATTATATATATATAAATTTTTAGTTTTTAAATTAATTAAATATTTAATTAATATAGTATTTGAAAATATTGTTTTATTATTAATGTTAGGTAACAGTTATTATTAGAGTTATGTTTCTTCGGGAATTCCCGAAAATTTAATATTCATTAAATCGTCGGGAATTTAATATTTATAGAAATATGGCAACATTTTAAATGAAATTAACGTCTATTGTTTTTCCCGATTTTCCCGATTTTTGTTGTTTTTTGAGAAAATCCCGAAAAACCCCGAAAAACAGTATTTAAGTGTGTTTTTTCCCGAAATTCGCTAAATATTGATTAACAAAAACTAAATATATAGTCAATACAACATTAGCAACAAATTCAAAACTATATTAACTTAAAAAGCAATGAAAGTGACGCAAGCGTACATAAAAATCACAAAAAATATTGTAATTATTATTTGATATAAAAAACTGTAATTTTGTAAAATATTATATTTAAGTATAATATGAAATATTTGTATTTTTAGTAAACAATGGGTAAAACAAAGAGTAGTTTAAAATCTAAATTAAATTTATTTTTAAAATCAAATAATGAATTAAAAGTTGAAAATGAATGTGTATTTTGTATGGTTTGTGTGAAACAAATAATTATTTCCGAAAGTAAATACAAATGCCGTATCAATGAACACATGTCGAGTGCATCACATCTTAAACACCGAGAGATTAAAGCAAAAGGTGATCAAAAAAGACAACAATTGCTATCAGAATCAATTAAAACGTTAAATCAGAAAAAAGATACTGAAGACTATTTTACAATGCGATTGACTGAAACACTCATTAAATCAAACATACCTTTTCATAAAGTAATGTCTCCGGCATTAAAAGGATTCATTGAAGAATTTGTTTTAAAAGTGGTACCAAATCAGACAACACTTAAACGATATGAAAAGCCATTATATCTAAAAGCTATTGATAATATCAGAAAAATTGTTGCCGAAAATTATGTATATTTTATAATAGATGAAACAAAAGATAGTTGCGATCGAAAAGTGTTTAATATAATGGTTGGTATATTAAATGGCGAGTATAGTAAACCAATGATAATTGATGTCGAGTTCATTGAAGACACTAAACATAACACAATTCAAACTGCATTTTTAAATGCTTGTCAAATACTTTGGCCTCAAGGTATACAATATAATAAAGTGTTACTTTTAGTCACAGACGCCGCATCATATATGAGGACAGTTGGTACCAATTTAAAGTTTTTTTTCCCGAAGATGTCTCATATAACATGTGTTGTTCACGCATTAGATAGAGTGTGTCGTAAAATACAAGAAGAATATTCTGAATTAAATATATTTGTTTCTTCAATGAAAAAATGTTTATTAACTTCGAAATCAAAAGAACTACTTTATAGAGAGACGACTGCTCTCCCGTTACCTCCTATTCCTGTCATTACCCGATGGAAAACTTGGTTAGAAACTGTTATGTTTTATCGCACAAATTTTGTTAAAATTGAAATGTTTGTCAATAGTTTGAAACAGGAAACTAACAATCAGTCAATAAAAAAACTTAAATTATTAATAAATGATATAAAATTTAAGAATCAATTATTTGATTCTGAAAATTACAAAATATTAATTGAATCCACAAAACAACTGATGTCTTCAAATATACCAATAAATGATCAAAAAAGTATTATTGATAATACTGTACAGCAATTGTCTGGTTTTGCTAAAGAAAAACTATTGATGTGTTTGGCAAAGAATAAAGATTTGGAAGACTTTTGTGATTCACAAGACTTTGAGACAAAATGTTTGACAAGATATGCACCGTTAAAATCAGTGGACATCGAGCGCTCTTTTTCTGAATATAAGAATATTCTCACTGATAGAAGACATAAGTTTACTAAAGATAATCTTAAATATCATTTTATTATTAAATATAACCAATTTTGTGACAACTAAACTATATATGCTAATTATAATGCAAAAAAAATAAAATTTATTTCCCGATTAATCTCCCGATTTTGTGATTTTTTACTCCCGATTTCCCGACCGATTTTGGCCATTTAAGCTCCCGAAAATGCATAAGTATAGTTATTATTAATTATCGTTTATTGCATACATAATTATTTTAACTAATAAACTAATTTTGCAAAATAACAGTATAGAGCATTTTATCTATTTTTTATATAAATTAACTGTCATAATTAGATAATTATATAATATAAAATTACTAATTTATATTTTTTGTTGTATGTACATTATGTATATTTAATTAAATTAAAAAGTAATTTGTTTTATTTTTTAAAAAACAAGTAATATATTCAAATGAATATTTCAACGATTTCAACTTCAATTATTGTTTTGAAATAAAAAATCAATAATATTTGAATTATTAATAGCTTTATAAACTTTATACTGTCGACATATAAATATAAATGTATATATTATATGTTATTTATTAGTTTTTATAGATAATCTAACTATAAAATATCTATATATGATCTATACTACTAATGTTTATACTTATTATACTTATAATATTTAAGCACAATTATCATAGGAATTGTTATGATCTTAAAATATAAAAATATATTATACAATATTCATCAAAAATACACTTATACTGTAGTTAATGTTAGAATAAACTACAGTTTCAAAAAATATTTATATCATTAATGAGAAAATAAAACAAAAGAGAAATAATATTAATCTAATTTATAAAGAATTAAAAATTATGTCAGTCTGTGATTAAAACGATAACTCATTAAATAACATTTATTGTTAGTATAAAAGCTATTAAATCTTATTATTATTTATTGTTATTATAATAAAAAATTTAATTTATTATATATCATTCAAAATAAACTTTTATTTTTCATTAAAAGCAGATTTTAAATAAAGGATATAATACAAACTTAAATTTATAGTATAATATCATATATTACTGTATAAAGTAAGCAAATATTTTAAAATGATTTTCTCTGACTTAATGTGTATTTTTATGGATTAATTTGGCGATCAATAAGATGCTTAAGAGTCTGCGTTTGAAGGTCTGGTTGATTACCGGAGAAATGGTAAGCAAATAAAGTCATATATAATATTGCAATATATTGTATATAACACATAGTTACGGATGCTATCATTTCGTATAATACACTCGTAGTTTTGGGTGGAGGACTGTTGTAGAGGACTGTTGTTTAGGACATCCACAGAATATTCTTGACTCTCTCTCTCTCTCTCTCTCTCTCTCTCTCTCCTCTTTCATTCACTGACTCACTAACTCATATGTGTAACATTCATAGTGTAACCGTTAATACAGTTTCCAGTTATGTTAGAAACTGTATTCCAAGTGTTTGTGTCAATGATATAATTCATGCGCTAAACAATCGGCTGATAAGGCATATGAGCACAAATGGATAGACAGTTTAGATAACAATTTTTTAATAATAAAACATGAAATATAAAAAGTGTGGTCAATATTATTAATAATTATGATTAATAGACCTTTTTTGATTCGCAAATGTCTTGTCTTAAGTGTTGCTTTTATAGTAACCTGTGTTACTCTACATTTCAAAGGTAAGTCATAATTTTTATATTATAATTTACAAAATATGAAAATAAATTAAGTATTATGTAAGATAAAGTAATTTATTTTAAATAAGTAATAAATTAATATTGAAATTATTTGAATAACAGTATATATTATATCTAAGTTTGTTATCTAATTTCATTTTACTTAATAAATATATGATTATTTAGATTTATAATATACTCTATTATATATTATATAAATAATTTTGACCAAACATTACAATAAGTTGTAATGAATTTAATAGTTTTTGTGCTAATTATTTGCTCATAAGATAATATGCCATAAAAATAAATATTACATGAGTTTAAATAGCTTATTAAGGTTTACATTGTTTTGGTATTTTGAGAGCTTAGCCATAAAAAAAATTGGATAAACTTATATATTGAAGAATATAACCAGAAAAATGTCAAATATTTATATTTTATTTCAATAAATTCTTTAGTAAAGATAAATAATATGAAATAGAAAATACTATATAAATAAATAAGATTGTAAAAAATGTCTAAATAAAACTATATAATATTTATTATATTTTATAGTATGTTTATTCAACAAACAGTCCACAGCGTAACCAAAGTAAATAAAATTGGGATTAATTTTTTTATAGTGATGTTATAAGTATTAATATATTACTGATGTATTAATATTTAGCAAAAAAGTATCTCCTAAAAATATATTAATCTATCGATCATAATATAGTGTAGTATATATTATATATATAGTATATATTATACAAATTGTATTATACAATGCAATGCTTTGAATTAGTAAATCAATTATTTAAATGTTAAAATATATGAACCCATATTTTATTTAATATTTATCTGAATAATGTGAAACATTAATAACTTATATTGCATTAATTTATAACCTTTTACTATACCCATTAGTGATTTTGATATACTTAAATAACATGATAGTATTATTGGTATATAATCTAAGAGCATATCTTTATACTAAATTTTGATCAAACATTACATAAAAATTTTATCACATTATATGATGAAAACTGATATTTTCACTATTATTTATTCAATTGTGTTAAATATGTTGTAATATAATTATAAACCTTTGGATCAACAACAATAGTCTTCAATATTTGTCACATTTTCATTGAAATTTTATACTACTGTATACTACACTACTGTATAATGTAATTTAATTTTTATTCTGACAAATGATAAACAACATGTAAATAATATTTATTTTATAAATAAACTTTTATAATTTAACATTTTTAATATGTAATCACATTTATAGTTTAAAAAAATGCCACTTAATAATAAAAGTAATTCATAAATACTAGAAAATATAATATAAACTAATATCTAAACAAATATAAAATAATAGAAAAAAATATTGTTAGTAACTATAAATAGAAATATTTTTTTCATATAAATGTCCAAAACATTGATCCATTCATTGATTTATACATTAGTGAATCAAAACACGAGTTCTCACTTTTCTCGTTATTAAATATACGGTTTAGTATTATAAACCTTAAAAGCTTTTATGGTTATTGCAGTTAAGAGTTAATATAATAATCGTAGTAAAAGATTATAAAATCAATGTCATTATTATGTAAATACTATAATAACAAAATTTTTATTTAAAAAAACGATTTTACAGGACAATCACGATTAGAGCAATCATTACCATCACATGTATACCAATCAACAAACGCTGATAATCACTATAAGAGTAGAAAATTAAGTGAAACTCAAAACAATGAAAACACTGGATTTAATTTGACGACAAATCAGACAAACAATAATAAAGACAATCATCAAAATGCATCACAAGTGCGCAAAATAAGGGAACCAAAGCATAACATGTAATTAAATTAAAATCAAACTCTCATTGAATTATTTAGTATTATATATAATGTATTAAACAGTATTCATCTTTTAATCTATTGTTATATGACAACAGTGTACACCCAACAGCAACAACGAAAAAACCACTAATTAATTTAGTTGGATCTAACCTAACCACTTGTACTAACCCAGCAATCAATGAATTTCCACCCGATTTGTTTAGTCAGAGATCCCGTTCCCGGGGAGCCATCATTATACACGTGGCTGTCGTCCTCTATATGTTCTATTGTTTGGCAATTGTTTGTGATCTTTATTTCTTGCCATCACTTGAAGAGTGCTGTCAAGTATAGAAATATTTTTTAAAACTATAATTATATTATTGTTAAATATTTTCATGAATTATTTTTTAAACACATATATAGCGACTTAACCTATCGGATGATGTGGCCGGTCTGTTATTTATTTATTAATTATTATAAATTTTCTAAATATATTAAATTAATTTAATCAACATAATAGGCGCTACATTCATGGCTGCCGGTTCCAGTGCTCCCGAATTGTTTACCGCAACTCTGGGAGTATTTATTGCTAAAGGTGATGTCGGCACCGGTACAATTGTGGGATCAGCCGTTTTCAATATATTATTTGTAATAGGATTGTGCTCTTTATACACAGGTATATATATATTGACACATTTCTTTATATAGTATTACAATGTTATGAGCTCTATATTTAAGTTTAAGTTAACTAATTATATATTTAGCAATATTTTACAATTATTTATTTTTTATAATAATCATAAATAAGAAATATGATATATAACTTTTTAAAGTATATTTTTTGATAAATTAATACTGGTTATTTTAATAAAATACAGTCTATATGTAATATAAAGTATTACATATATTTTGATATAGTTATCGTTCATTTTATGTTAGTTTACTTCAAAATGCGGAATAAGTTTATTTAAAATATAACATTAACATAGCATCAACTCAGTTGAATTGGTGGCCAGTGGCCAGAGATTCATCTTATTATACATTAACAGTACTCGTCCTAATTGTGGTTAGTTTTATAATTAAATATTTTTAATTTTAAATTAATTATTTAAATATTGATATTCAATATACAAATTTTGTGATAACATTTATTTAGTTCATATACGATGGAGAAGTTACAACAATTGAATCATTTATACTATTGATGTTATACGGTGTCTACATATTGATCATGAATTACAACACTGAGCTCCGGGATTATGTTCAGCAACAGTGGACACAATATGGTATTAAACATTTCGATGGCGACGAGTTTGAAAACTTGAAAACCAATTCCGCGGGTATCGTACAGTATCACTCCTTTAAAGGTAACTATTTCTCATATAATACAAAAATTATTAATATTTTATTATTCTTATATAATTTTTATAATAATATTTTTCAAAATTATTTAATATGCTTAAAATATACTAAATAATATAAACAACATTCTATAATTTAGTACTTACAAATATTTACAAAAATGATTATAGTATTAAATTTTATAAAATATTTTACTTATAAATTTACACATAAATATTTTATAATTTTTTATATAAAAAATTAAGAATATTTTACAGAATTAAAATAACAATCTTTAAGATAAGACTTATCTAAGTTTGAGTGCTTTGACAATAATTTTCATAAAAAAATAAGATTTTTATGTAAATTACTGTACTTTATATGAATAATATATAACAGACCGTATTTTATACATATATTAGATTTAGTTTTAGTTACTATTTTGTAGCTTTGAATTTAGGTTTTAGAGAAGAAATTAAAAAAATATTATTTATGATATAATTATATTATTAAAATTATATTCAGTTGATTTATCAAAGATTACAGATTTTATTATTCAAATAAATATTAATTAATTTTAATTATTGGATTGATTAATAAAATTGATTAATAAAATTGATTATTATTTATTTTAACAAAAAACCTAAAGTTGGTAATAATGAGTCAGCATTTGGGCACCGGATTGAACTGAATAGACCGCAAACGACTATCTTTGAAGCGGCAAATATAGTGATCATTAAACATAAACGACTTTTCCGACCCATTACTCGGTTTGCAATTGTGTTTACTATTATTTTTTTTATATTAAATAATTCCCTGTTTTTTAAAGATTTCGATCGGCAGCTCAACTAATTATAATTCAGCGACAAAAAGGTATTATTATTAATAATAATAATAATTAATACATTAATATTTACTAAAACGAATTAAAATCACTATTACAGCCAAATATCAAAATCAATTACAACAACAGCAACAACAACACCATAATCAACAACAACAGCAACAGTTTCAACATCAGTCTGAATTGAATTTTGCCAAATCATTTGATTCGGTCCGTAAATCATCACTAGTACCCGATCAGGACTTCTGGAGACGAGTTCCCGATCCAAGTGAGAGACAAAAAATTATAAAATTGATATCTATTTTAAATGCTATAATGAAATTTAGAAGTGGAAGGTTGGTATGAATGTATAAAATGGGGAACAATAGCTCCCTTACATTCCATACTTTTTTATACCATTCCCGACTGCAAAGTCAAACAACATCTATTTTTATTGACATTCTTCATGAGTATTACGTGGACCGCTATTTTCTCGTACGTCATGGTATGGATGGTTAGCTTAATTGGATTTACACTTCGTATACCCGATAGTATTATGGGAATCACATTTCTTGCGGCCGGAACTTCGGTATTGAAGAATATATTTATCTTTAAAAAAATTATTTTAAATTTTATAAAAATAATAAATATTTATATAATTAAACAAACAATGTATATAATATAATAAATTATTTTATTGATGACATTAGGTTCCGGATGCTTATGCTAGTATACATGTGGCCAGACAAGTAAATTTATCAATTAATTATTATTAATAATCAGTTATAAAGTAATATTTACTAATAGTAATATTGTAATTTGACATACATTTAGGGTCAGGCGGATATGGCTGTTAGTAATTCAATCGGAAGTAATGTATTTGATATACTAATTGGTTTAGCACTTCCATGGTTTGTCGAGACTGCAATTGTTAATCCAGGTTTGTACTCATTTGAAAATTTAAATAATATTTGTTTTAGTAATCTAATAATGATTATCAATTGATAGGTTCAATAGCAAATATCAACAGTCGGGGTCTCATCTATGCTATAATTTTGCTATTTTTGTCACTATTAGTCACTATTTATCTCTTTCATCGCAATCAATGGACATTAAATCCTCAATTAGGTTTGAAAACATTGAAATTATTTTGAAATATAGAGATCATAGAAATAATTAATTGATTATTGATATCAATTTGCATTAGGATATGCCTTATTGATAACATACGCCATATTTCTGGTTATAAGTGGATTACTTGAATTCAATTTACTCGGTATTAACAGACAAATATATATATATATATAATTAGATAAACATATTTAAAACAATTATATCTATATTTAAATGATTATTAGGTTATGTCAACCCTCCCATGTGTGGCGAGTGAGGGCATACTTTATACTAAAAGCGATTACATTTTGGTGTTTGACATGAGTGCAGATGTCTTCGTTAAACTGATATTTTGTTGATATTTCTCAGTTTGAGCTAAATGTTTGTGTAATACTAAGTGTAGATCTATTTATTGAATGATACCTAAACTATAAAATATGTCATTAATTATTATATTTACGAATATTATAATTAACAAAAATGAGACAATCAATGATCTCAACGAAAATATATAAGAATACAGTAATAATATGCTTTAATTTCTTGTAAGAATTATTTAAATTATTATTAAATAAACATTTCAGTGATATTTGACTAATTTTAATCTATAATTTTAATATATAAATTTTTGTAACAATTTATATATGGTATTGTTATAATTAGATATTAATAATAGATATTAATTTGAGCAATAATTATTGTCTAAATTTTACTATTATTTAATAAAATTGTATTGATTTGTTGATTTAATTTGTGTGAAAAAGCATATAGAAAGCAATAATATAAGGAGATTAAATATGTAACCGTAAATTTTGAAAGTCCTAACTTTAGACTTGTTTATTTCCATTATTTTCAAAATAAAAATTTTTTTGTCATGTAAATTTAATAATAAATTTATTTGTCTTTATTTATTAAATATTTATTTTATTGTCTTATTGAAGATAAAAATGGTAGAAAGCTTAAAGTCAAGTGACTTATAATTACTAAATTCTACTTTTTTAGATTAGTCACCTAGAAATAATAAAATAAAAATGACAACAAATATTTTTCAAGTTAATTCAAATTTTCATTATATTAGCTTTAAATATAAGTAGTTTTTAAATTTTTAATATTAAAAGTATTAAGATGATAATGAATCAAAGTCTGAAACTCCAATATAGGTTTAAAATGTTATTCTATAAATATTAATAGACAAAAATCCAATATTTTTTATAATTTAAATATTTAATTTATTAGAGGTCATTTAAGTAAAAAATATCAAAATATATTTTGTTTCAATAAAAAGATATTGTTAAAAAATAAAAATAATATGAATTTACACTCAAAATATAGCCAATATTTGACCAAATTTTTAGAAAATATGCTGTAAAAAAATTAATACATATGTTTGATTATTGATAGCATAAGCAACATATAGATTAGGTATCACTCAATCAAAATTGAGTTTGTTTAATTTTCTTCAATTTTTTCTTTATGGAAAAATGTATTACAAAAGTCAACTAGTCAAAAATAAATTTTAATTGTTTAAGGGCTTCGTTGTGGAAATTTACTTAATTAATTGAAAAATAACTTTAATATAGATGAAGACAATTTTATGTTTCTTCAAATTGTACCTTAATAAATTTTTTAAAATAAAAGCAACTATTAAATATAAAGGAAAATGTGTAGTCTCTCCGATATTACGGATACATATTTAATTTCCTTATAGTATATAAATATTAATAACTATTAATAATAATTGATACTTTATACATAATTTTTATTTATTTTATTGGGCTATACTCTAGTATATATTACCTAACATACATAAGTAATGTCGTTTCAAAAGTACAAAAACTAGTATTATTTTTAAACGGTAAATAGAATGACATTTATTTTAGTGTATTAAAATAACATAAAATTATCAATATTAGGTTGACTAAGTAGTTTTGGATTTTAAAAACTAAATATGTCTGAATTTTGTTTTAAGACCTTTGAATATAACTTGTATTCTAAGTAATAATTAGCACTTTTGAAAATTTTAATCAATTTTTAAAAATTTTACTATACAATAGCTTCATGATAAGCATCATTGCAATTTTTATCGGGTGATATCAATGATTTTATTGAATAAAAAAGTTTCATTTTCAAATATTGATCTGATATCTCGTAAACAATTGTTTATAATTTATTATTGATAAAGAAAAATAATAATTTAAAAGAACATAATTAAAATTTAACTATCTATTTTTAAACTTTTAAATGAAAATAATTTTTTTCAATGCTTTGTGCCATCCAAAAATAACGTTACTTTATGTATAATAATAACGACATTACTTATGTATGTTAGGTAATATATAGTGTTATCTTCAACATAATGATAAATAATTTATAAATTTGCAAATATTTAACTAACAACAAAAATTTATTTAATTAATAATTTTATTACATATGTTTAATAGTAAAAATAAATATTTAATAACTTATGATATTATAAAAAGAAAATAAATAAAATATTTAAGTAAGTAATAAATGACTTGAAATATATTTAATCCATTTCTTCAATTGTCGGTCCGTTTGGAGATCCCGAAGCCATTCCAGAAGCAGTACTATTACCACTTGTGCTATCATATAGTTTAGTGATAATTGGATTACAAAGAGATTCCAGTTCTTTCTGTTTGTGTTCGAACTCTTCTTTATCTGCCAATTGGTTTGTGTCCAACCATTTGATAGTTTCATTTACTTTGTCCAACACTTTACTTCTGTTTGATTCTCCAATTTTGTCTTTAAGTTTCTCGTCTTCAATCGTTTGCTTTATATTATAAGCATACGCTTCGAGACTATTCTTTGCCTGAATTTTGTCTTTTTGTTTGTTGTCTTCATCCTTATAGGTTTCGGCCTCTTTAACCATTTTTTCGATATCTTCTTTAGAAAGTCTTCCCTTGTCGTTAGTAATTGTTATCTTATTTTCCTTTCCGGTACTCTTGTCAACAGCCGAAACATTGAGAATACCATTGGCATCGATATCAAAAGTGACATCAATTTGTGGTACACCTCTTGGCGCGGGAGGAATGCCTGTCAATTCAAATTTACCCAAAAGATTGTTGTCTTTAGTCATCGCGCGTTCGCCTTCATGGACTTGAATAGAAACTCCCGGCTGATTGTCGGCGTAAGTCGTGAATGTCTGTGTCTGTCGCGTTGGGATTGTTGTGTTTCGTTTAATTAGTGTTGTCATAACACCACCGGCCGTTTCGATACCTAAAGACAGTGGCGTTACATCCAGTAATAGCAAGTCCTGAACGGCTTCACTCTTATCGCCACTAAGTATGGCCGCCTGAACAGCTGCTCCGTAGGCCACAGCTTCGTCGGGATTTATGCTTTTGTTTAATTCTTTACCATTAAAGTAATCCTGAAGTAGTTTCTGAATCTTTGGTATTCTTGTTGATCCACCGACTAAAACAATCTCATGAATCTGCGATTTATCCATTTTTGCGTCGCGAAGAGCTTTTTCCACGGGATCTAATGTTCCTCTAAACAGTTCTGCGTTTAACTCTTCAAATCGCGCTCTCGTTATCGTCGAGTAAAAGTCGATGCCTTCGAAAAGTGAATCGATTTCAATGGACGCCTGAGTTGAGGACGAAAGAGTTCTCTTCGCTCTTTCACAGGTTGTCCTCAATCTTCTTAGAGCTCTCTTATTAAGAGACAAATCCTTATTATGTTTTCTCTTGAATTCCTGTACGAAGTGATTAACCATTCGGTTATCAAAGTCTTCTCCTCCCAAATGAGTGTCACCAGCGGTGGACTTGACTTCGAAGATCCCGTCATCAATGGTAAGAATAGACACGTCAAAAGTGCCGCCACCCAAGTCAAAGATGAGGACATTCCTCTCTCCCTTTCCTTTTTTATCCAAACCGTAAGCAATAGCGGCAGCCGTCGGCTCATTGATAATTCGCAATACATTCAGACCAGATATAGTTCCCGCATCTTTAGTGGCCTGACGTTGACTATCATTGAAATACGCGGGAACTGTAATCACAGCGTTGGTGACTTGAGATCCCAGATATGCTTCAGCGATCTCTTTCATCTTCACCAATACCATCGATGAGATCTCTTCGGGAGAGAATGCCTTCATCTCTCCCTTGTATTCTACTTTAATCTTAGGTTTGCCACACTCTTGGATCACTTCAAAGGACCAATGCTTCATATCTGACTGAACTGTCGAGTCATCAAATCGGCGACCAATGAGTCGTTTGGCGTCAAACACGGTATTCGTGGGATTCATCGCCACCTGATTCTTGGCCGCGTCGCCGATCAATCTCTCGGTGTCCGTAAAGGCCACATATGACGGTGTCGTACGGTTTCCCTGATCGTTGGCTATGATCTCGACCTTTCCGTGTTGAAACACACCGACACACGAGTAGGTCGTTCCTAAGTCTATACCAATTGCTGGAACTTTTGGCATTTTATCACTTTTGTAATAAAACTTTTTTTTAACACAATATTTAGTGAAAAACAATTTCAAAGTTATAATTGTTTAGACTCTTTATAGCAGTCAATGTAATCACAAGTTATAACAGTTTTAAACTTGAAGTGCATTTCCAGTCACTCTCTGAGCCTTTTATATGCTTTGACTCTCTCTTCCAATACTTTCCACTAATTTCTACGCTATTCTCGATTTTTCAGTTATTGTTCCATAAATTACGTCAACAAAGGGGACATTAATTGCAATTGTAATAAATTAGTGAATCAGTTGAGGGAAACAAATGCATTGACATTATTGATAGAGAAATGAAGAAAATGCTGGAATATTCACAATTAATCGACTTATTTGTGGAAATCATATAAAACTTAAAGTAAATTAAATTATATTTATTTATAAATTATTCAAAATTTATTAATAATTTACTCAAAATAATATTTTAAATATAAATTTTAATACAAAAATAGTATCAAATGAATTAATGAAAATAAACATGCTTATTTTGAATTATAAAAAATAAATGAAGTTTAAAATAAACAATAAATTTAAATCAATTATTAATAAAAAATATTGCGTTAAAATAAGTATTATTATTATTACCGCAATTGTATACTAATATAATAATAATAATTAAAATGATTTATTAAAATAATTTCTAATATCTCTCTGTTTGGATGTCTTATTAAAAGAGGAATTATATAGAGATAAGTCTATACTTTTGTTTGCCGATTGACTGACAATTGATTTAGTATTAGTAAAACAGTCATCAAATATACCGATGTCTTCATCACTGGTTTCACTAATTTCTGATCTTTCGGTGTCACTCATAGTCAAAGTATCATCTAATGTATCAATAGTTGTGTTTCCGCTTGAATTTAGCGAATGTTGACTTACATTATTATAACAGTTATCTTCATCAGTGGTTAATCGCATTCTTTTGTTTGCAATCGATGTAAACATATTTTGTTTTTTCTCGCGTTTGAAATAYTTGCTCTGAAACTCTTCGGAACTTTCTTTGGAAACTTTAAAAATATTTCGCGAATAAATACTTTTAGTCGATATATAATTATTTTGTTGTACAGTTGTTGTCATTTTATTTGATTCTTGATTTTCATCACAAATTTCTACTGAGTATTCATCAACTAATTGACGACAACTGACAAAAGTATTTTCATCGATTTTCTGTCGTTTGAATGAATTCGGTGACAAATTATTTGATTGAACAGTGGTTTGTGGTATAACTGTTGATTGATGTGAAATGTGATGACTTTCATTAAGAGATGGCTGTCTATTGATTAAAATTTTGTTATTTGGATTTAATTTTTGTAAAATTAATTTATTTGTTGTAAACTTCGACTTATAATTTAACCAATCCTTTGACCAAATGCTATCTTCATTTGGTTCAAAATTATATGAGTCAATGATATCTAAAGTCTTTGTGTCAACGTTTCCAATGGCATATTGAAAAGCAAAGTCATTGCCGAGATCTTCATTGAAGTGAATGCCGGCATAACTGAGTTCATTAGCAGTGATGTTATTCTCATAGGGAGTCAATGGCACTAATTGTCGCAATTTTGGACAAAACACCAGTTGATATCGGAAAGTATTGTCAGCTCTAATGAAATCATTGACATATTGTTGACTGACTTTAACTTTTTTAGTCATTTTGAGATAATTGGGAATTTTAAACAAAACTGTCTTCAAGTCTGAATTTGTCGTTAATTTGAAAAACTTTTTGGCTCTTTGGAGACCAATTCCTGGAAGATTTGCCAAATAATCACAACCTAAACAACAAATAATTAAATTACCGGTAATTGTAAAGCAAATCATCAGACCTGACATTATAGACATATGTCTTAATTTGTTGACATCAAAACCGTCTCCCAAACACTCCTTAAGCAAAGACATGTCCATCAACTGTCCGTTTCCTTTAGCGTCCAATTTAAACAAACAGAGTCTACAGTTAAAAACTAATAAATCCGAGTCTTCAGTAATGACAAAATCTGCAAATCCATTGTTAACCAAATAAGCTATTTGTGGATCCGCTTCAAAGGGCGCCACAATAATGTCGACCTGTTTTTCTCGCAAAGCATTAATCAATTTTCTGGTCATTTGTGGTGTGATTTCAATACATTGTTTCATTAATTCGTTAGCCTTCGAGTCCTGTCCTTCGGCTAATAATAACTCAATCTTATTCCGTACGTTACGTTTGGTCGCTTGTCTTTGTCTGTGTGTCACCTCTTTAGCCGGTAATCTTTGTCCATCAAACACAACAATCGGTTTAATACCGACGCTAACCAAATGTTGGCACCGTTTAAGAAAATAGTTGACATATAAATCGGTTTGTAGTCCTTTATATAGGTCTTGAGCGCAACCATATGAGGCCCGATGTAACCATCCGTTACCGTCAATCACACAAACACTTCCCGATAAGTCCAACACATTCACAGGTTTGGTCGCTCTCTCCAGTAATGGTAATAATCCCTGGATTCCCATTATATCTATACCTTTTGTCGTCAAACCATTAATAGTAAGACAATTAACCAAAAGATCAATTAAGAAGAAATGAGATCAACTTTTTGGTGATAAAAACAAAACAATGCTTTCATTTAATTAACTAAAAAAGTTACACAACTTTTGATTTCCCGCTTTAATCACAACATTAATAACGACTTTTAAGTATTACTGGAAAAAAGTTGCAAATCTTAGTTAATATAAGCCAATAGTTACGACCTTTTTGTCGCACATTTGACTAAATGTATTAAATATTCATAATTTGTGATATGTTTTGAAAGTCAGACAACAATCATATATTGCATGCATTTTGTGACCACTATTTGACCACTACTTTACCGACCGTCACATTACGGGAGATTTAAATGGTGGCCACATATATCAAAGTTATATTCTTCGGATCGATTGCCAGTATCATTGGTGTTGGTATTGTTTCTAGTTTTGGTGGTAAAGAGGAAATAGATTATACCATTAAAGTTAGTATCAATGATATTATAGTCGATGTAATCACTGATTATGACAACTGTTTTGACAATAATTGTCTGATTTGTTGCAGAAATCAAACAAGACTTATGTTAATAGTTTACCGAAAGGCAAGTATATGCAGGCCATCAACGATGCGGTCAATTCAGACAAACCATGGATTACTGAAAAACGAAAATAACATTAGCTTTGGACTCAATTATAGTGACTTTTGCAGTTAATGGCAAATAATTAAAACATGATTTGAATTTATTGTTTGATAATATAATTCAATGTTATTTTTAATTAGAAATTGTAAATATAGTAAATAAAAATTATTATTACCTAATCATATGTTATTTTTAAAAAATTGTTTTTAAAATTGTTTGATAATTGAAATTTAAAAAAAATTATACTATATTTGAAATATGACACTCCGATAATGAAACGGTGAAAATATGATATTTTGGTACAAATCTATACCTAATATAACCGGATATATACTTTCATTTGATTTATAAGAAAACCAATGAATAAAAATGCAGAATAAAAACGCCAAACAAGAGTTATCACAAATTAGAAATCAACTGATAATCACTGAAGAAGAACTTGAATCCACAAAACAACAAATATGTGATAAATCTCAACAACTCTTTTCAGTGAAACAATAATTTTTATCAGTAACTGAACAATTGGTTTCAACAATACAAGAGCTAATGTCAACCAAAGAAGATCTTTCATCGACTGAATTAGAGATGAGTTTATTGGAAGAAATGATGAATGAATTTAAGGAAAATAATATATTATATTATTGTTTGACTCAATCTAAACAATATAATACTCTTCTTTTGAAAGAAGTTTCACAATAATTATATTAATGAATTGCAGTCAAAGAAAAGTGAATTGAATTGTTGGATCAAAAGTCGACTGAAAACAAACAATTGTCTGAAATGGTTGACGAACTCATTGCCAAAGTCGGTCATTAATTGTTGATTTTATTACAATTTATTTTTATAAACAAATTTTATTATGTATCAAATTTTTATTAATTCAAATGTTTTAATTATAAATATTTTATAACTATCGGTAATGTATTTTTTTTTTAAATATAAATAAATAATATAACATTTTTATAACATTTAAAATAGTTTGTCATAATTATTGATAAAAATCACAACTTTAGCTTAAATAAAGTTAAGCCAATCAAGTGTTGAAAATCAAGGATACACTGGATAACAATTTTTTTTATTAAACTTAAAAACTCAATAAAAAACAAGTTTTAAAAATATTTTCTAAATTTCTACTTTTAAATTCAATATATTAACAATTTCTTTATATTTGATGTAAAATTTTTAATAATATTAAAGTCAAAAAATAAAATGAGTGGTTCGGCAAAAATTATTATTAAAAATTGTGAACAAATAGTTCAGGTCTGCGATTGTCATGAATCATATAAAAGAGGTCCACAAATGGATAGTCTGGCTATTATTGTTAGACGGGATGATAGCATTGGATGCAGTCTTGTCATTGGATTTGATGGACTCATCAAAGGTTTGATTATATTGATAACAGAATTACTATTTAGTATTAAATATCATAATTATAATACAATAGATATTGGTTATGATGACCAAATTGGATCTAAATATAGTGATGTTAAAGAAATCATTGATGGAACCAATTGTTGTGTTATTCCCGGACTCATTGATAGTCACAGTCATCCGGTTTGTTATTAATTAATAATAGATAATAATATTAAAAATGTCTAAAATATTAATGATTAGGTGTTTGCCGGCGACCGTGTCTTCGAGTTTGACGCTAAAACAAGAGGGGCTTCATATTTGTCGATACATGAGAAGGGAGGAGGCATTTACCACACTGTCTCTCAAACACAGTCAGCAACTGAACAACAATTGCTGAAACTATTGCTTTCAAGAATTGATAACATGATGTCGTGTGGAACCACTGTATTGGAGTGTAAATCTGGTTATGGCTTAGATTTAGAAACCGAAACAAAAATGCTTAGTGTTATCAATAAAGCAAATGATTTGACATCAATGGATTTGGTGACCACTTTTTTGGGCGCACACGCCGTTCCCAAGTAATTATTGACTGTATTGTTATTAAAATTATTTTTTAAATATTTAAATATAATATAATAGAGGACTATCGCCACAACAAGGAGTCAAATCTGTGATTGAAATGATGACAGTTTTAAAAGATAATAAGTTTAATATTGAATTTATTGATGTGTTTTGCGAAAAAGGTATAACTTTTTCAATTGTTTGCTACAAATATATTATTATAATTTAATGTTATTTATAGGTGTATATGATGTCCAGCAAAGTGAAGAGATCTTAAATGCTGGCAAACAATTATTGAATGCTTTTCCTGGTTTTCACGGCGAAGAACTTAACTATTTAGGATCAGCCGAAATGGCCGCAAGAGTTAATGCCAGATCTGTTAGCCATTTGGAGTTTATTGGCGATGAGGGCATTAAAGCTCTGTCTGATAACAATATTGTTGGCATAGTATTGCCGACCACTTTATATCTGCTGAAACTACAGTCCCCTCCCGTACGCAAAATGATTGATAATAACGTTATCGTAGCCATTGGTTCAGATTTTAATCCTAACGCCATGTGTATGCTATTAATTTTAACATTTTTTTGTTTGTTATTTGACTAATCGCTAAATTTTTAATTGTTAAATAATTTTTTAAAAGGTTTTTCCCTTCCAATGGCTATGAACTTAGGTGTCGTTAAGTGTGGCTTTACTATCAACGAGTCGTTGGCCGCGACTACAATCAACGCGGCCTATGCTCTCAACCGAAGTCAAACACACGGCTCTCTTGAAATCGGGAAATACGGAGATTGTGTGGTCATTGATGCACCCGATTGGAGACATATTGTGTATGAATTTGGAAATTCAACTCATCTTATTAAACATGTTATTAAAAATGGTAATATTATTATATAAAAATAACATTACATTATTGTTTAATTATGATATTATTTGTATGGTTTAAACAATTTATCAATTTTATTTCAATATATTAAAACAATACAGTGTACCGTATATTCATCACAATACTATCATATATACTGTATAAATATATTAAATATTAATAGTAATATTTTTTTTAATAAATAAAATCCATAAGTTATATATAAATAATAAATACATTTATTTTAAAAAAAAAAAACGATTGAATGATATATTGATATATAAAATTAGGGTTCAATTCGTTTTTTCATTGGAGTCATATTATCACTGATGAGACACTCGTTTTCAATCCAAGTGCTTCTGTGTTTGTCATTGATTTGCCAGTTAAATGTCAATGGAGTCCATAATATTTTGTCAGTCCATTCAGTACATACCGGCGACCAAAACTAAATATTACACAAACATATTATTACAAGTTTTAATTTTAAAAAATATTATTTTAAAAGGTTTTAATTTAATGGTTTTAATGATTACCTGATACCATGAATTAAGACTAACATTCATAGGATTATAACCATTAGAGACAGTCAAACATAACTGATGCGATGGTTCAAAGTCAAGATTTGAATGATAATTAAAATCTCCTAAAAATGATTTTAGTTTTAAATTTAACATTTTTAAAAAAATAGTTTTAGTTTAATAGTTGAAATGTTAACCTCCGATATTCATTCCTCCCTTCATAACCAGCACTTTACTGATCACTTCTCCGGCAGCTTTAACCTGTGCTTCCGGTTTAAAGTTAATTGTTTTCAATTGATTAGCAGTTTTGGATTGACAGTTGAATTGTGGTAAATCAAAATCCATTTGAACGTTCAAACGTATACCTAAACTCATTTGAACGATCCATAAATTAAAGTCATAGACTGGTATAAAATTTGATGATATATATGGTTGCACTTTGGAAGCATTGCAATCACTAGTGGCCGCATCGACTAATGTATTGCCAAAAATGTTGACATAAGCTCTGGAAGAATCTTTTTTATGGTAAACATACATTTTACCAATATCTATATCTGATCCCAGAAAGTGAGTGCCGGCAACAAATTGTGCCATTAGTTTGTAATCAGGATTATTCAAAGATCCAGTCGCGTCATTGACAATATTGGCCTTAAAGACAGCCTGTGCTTGATTTGGTCCAAATCTTTTAGTGGCCGAACATTTTCGGCGCTTAATATAAGACACATTCTGTTCTGTGTCTTCAGATTCTCTCATTCGATCCGATATTATAACCGATTCGTCGGTATTAACTGTCGACTGTTTATTGTTGTCATCTTTAGGTGGAACCCATTCTTTACAAGAACTCTCTGTCCAAAAGCTGTCATAAACTTCACGTTTTGAACGAATTCTCTTAATTTTCTTTAAAAAATTCTTTGATATTTCTGAATGTTTTCGTTCAAAATATCTGATAATATTATTTTCAAGGCATTCATTGTGTTTCTCGTTAATTAAATTATCACTTAAAACATTATCAATTTCATTGAAACCAATTTTTGGCCACCGATTAGCCGATTTTACATCCATTTCTATTGCATTGATATCTTCAATGATCGCATTCACAACTTCTTGTTTTATAACACAACTATTTTTTGGTTCTTTCAATAGTCTGAGATACCATTTCTGGACTCCTGGATGTGTTAACAATCGCCGACATGAATGAATTGCAGCTATTCTTATAGACTCCGACTGATGACACGTTTCTCCAAACATTTCACTGTATAATACGGTTGTATTTGATCCCAGATTTCCAATTGCCTCCAACACATCCTCAAGCAATGGATTATTACTATCTTTATCGCAATTCATTTGATTTAATTTATATTTCAAAATATCAGAAATTTTGTTTTTCATTTCTAATGATTTTGAATGATATCCTAAATTACTGACCGCTAATAGTATTATACCCTCAAAATTGCTATTAGTTTGACCTTTCATTATGTCTAATAATTGATTAATTAATAAATTTTGTGGGTTTGGTGTTTGAACTATCAATTTTATATAATCAATTTTATCTTCAATGCTATTGTCTGATTTGATTTGTTTTAATAGTAATGATTGTGCAACACTTGATTGTGATTTAACTAAAATTAACAATAAATCAAAACATTGTTTATTTTTTAGTGACAATTTTGTGCCACAAATATCTAATATTGTTTTTTCTTTAATCATATTATTAACCAAACGAGTCATTGATGAAACTGTCTTATCTTCATTAAGAATTACTTCCAAATTAAGTGACTTTATTAAAGTATTATATACTAAAAAATAATTAATAAATTAATTTTTAAAAAATCATAATTATTATAATTAAATTACGTTAATATAATTACATGGATTCTGGTAATCACTTGAAATTCTAATAAATAATTCATTATTTTTTGTATTTTGATTGAGTTTTTCATTAATATAATTTCTGGATGAAATCAACTGATCCTTTAGTGAATTTTCTATATATTGTTTTGAAAATTAAATTATGATAATTATTATTAAAAAATAATTGTTATTTTTATTTCAAACAATACCTGCTGTTGACTCTGAAATGATTTGTTCGCCTTTAAGATTAAGTTTAGACTCCATTTGTTTTAATGTTTCTAAACTCTCTTTTTCATCGGTAGATCTTTTTGTTATCCTTTTAGTCATCTATTGATATTTTTTCAAAATATTTAAAAAAGTATTTTTATTGTATGAAAACATATACACAACTACCGAAAGTGAATATTTTGTGCGGACTTTGAGATAGTCTTCAATTTCTGGTTTTGTATTTGTGTCACGTCTTGTACGCGAAGAACTTTTCATTGGACTAACCAATGATAGTGACAAATGGCCGGCTATTGAAAAAATTACACAAAATTTAATTATATATAATACAATTAATTATAATTTTAATGTGTTAATGTGTAAGTTATGTTTAACATCATTAAATTACAGTGTATTATATGTTTTGGTAGTATATGAGGAAATTCAAGTTTGTAGTTAATTATAAGTATTTTGTATTGTTATTTGTTTTTTTTGTTTAACGAGAAATTCAATGCCATTTCTATATATTTAACGCCAGATTATAATTAAAAACAAATTTTAAAATCACGTACCGGTTGTTGTGAGACGACCTTCAGTTATCTTTTGAATTTGTTTAGCATTTACTCCAATTTGAGAGTTGTCTGGTATCATACCTTTACCATCGCCTATAGACATGACATCATCTGGTGATACATCTCTCATAACAGCCAATTGTTTAATTTCTTTAGTTTGAGATAATGCTAGAAAAGATGAACTAAGTTTCAGATTTGTTCCGTCCGATGATTGCTGAAGAGATTCTTCGATTTTTCCGCTGTCATCGTATGAATATTCGGAAAAATGAGATCCAATCGGACTTTTTTCTAATATCCTATTCTTTGATGCGTCTAATTGTGTTGCAAATGTGTCTGCTATATGTCTTTTAAAGTTTTTGATAGACGGATCGGTTTCTTTATCGCTGAACCTAATCTCTGGAACTGAACCATCCAATAGTTGTATAAAAACATACGGAATGGCAAACATTTTATCGTAATTAATATTATAATTAGGTGTCGATCTTCGAAACCGATTTCTATTTTTATTGTTTTTGCACTGATATTGCAAATTTGACGGTTGTTTTTCAAAGTCAAAGTCAGAATCAGATTCTTTGTCTGACTTTCGGTTTTTTCTTGTGAATAGATTAACGAAAAAATCTTTGACGTCAACCCACGCCTGTTTGAACCATCCGCCGACACTTCTCTTATTTCTTTTGATTTCATTTTGTCTGAATTTTTAAAATTTTATTAATTTTCAATTAAATTTAAATTTAAAGCTTATTTGATGTACTTTAAACAAATGTTTATTTATTTAATTAATTAAAAAAATATATACTTAGATTTAAAACTATTTAATATTACTGTATTAATAATAATAATAAAATATGTAATGTAGACTAACTTTATTTTAATTACTGATGGCTTCAAGTTTTCAATTTGGACCATATATTTCAGTCCATTTGTGCCGTATTTGCCATTTTCATCGCTTCCCAGACAGTGAACAATGACATCGGCTTTCACTAAGAAGTCCTCATTCAATGGACCCCATAATTGTGTAGTACTTTCGTAGTCAAACACTCGCTTTTCACCCGCCTTTCAATTTATATATGTTTTAATTTTATTAAACAAATTCTTAAAGATTTAAATTATAGTTAAATGCAAATAAATTATAATTTTTTTAACTTAAATGTCTTTTTTCTTATTTCTAATTATAAACATAAATCCTAATTAATAACTCTTTTTTTATAGCTTTCATTATTTTCTAAATATAAAACAATTTATTTAAATCTTATTTAGTGTCCGTATAAATAAATCATTTTTAAAATAATATTTACATAATTTAGTTGTCTTTAATCTCTAAAACATACTCTATATAAAAATATTAGTTTAAATTAAATAGAAAATACTATTATTACCTGACAGTTTAATTTTGTCAATAGATTAGTCTCCTCATCAGCGCTCAGGTATGTTAGCAATGAGCTGACAATTAATATAATAATTGATTGTGACGTTTGTGACATACTTTTAACAAACTGTGAATATTGTATATTAAAAAAAAGTTATTATAAATAGTTTTTTCTAATTCACTGACGAAACTAATGTATATTAATAATAGTCAATAAATATATTTTTAGGTCTCTATAGCCACTCATATAACAAACACACGCCCGCAGCACAACCTGTGCTTCAAATATAATCACGTTTAGGTACACAACAATAGTAAGCCAACAATAGACAAACCACAAGCCGTGAGTATATTAAAAATAAGTTATTTATTAGTTTTGTCGTCAATGAAAATACATTTAATAATAGAAATGATAGAAATTGTTTTTTTAAACATATGGTGTATATATAGTAAAAATTATAGTTATTATTATTGTAAAAGTGTCAATACTTATCAAGTTTTCACTGTATTTATATTTGATCAGTTTGATACACTTCTACTCAAAAAAAAGTTTCTTTTCTAGTCATTACATCAAATATTTGATCACAAAATTAAGTTATGATATTTTGTTTAATCAATTTATTATCAATAACTCTTTTATAACATTACTATATATGTATATTTAATATAATCGTAAAAAACTTTTACAAACTACTACCGGATGGAAAAATAATATCACTATTCATATGTTATATAAGTTTTTGTTTTGTCAACTTTGAAACAGTCAATCTCCCCGTCCTTTTCAATACAAGTCATTAAATGACATTTACTATAAAAAATAAGTTTTTTTACTGTCTATCTCCTGTTCACTGGAAATATAGCTAACATTTTGGTTGGCTAGCGGTTATGAAATCGCATGTTATTCGCATATATTTTACGGGGGACTGGTTTTTATCATTTAATGCAAAACACAAAATGCAATATTTAATTATTTTAAAAGCAATGGTACAGTATATCTATTATATACCGTATTTTCATATAATTTTTTTCCATGCATAATGGTAACCATTCAAACTAAATTCAAATAATGAATTTTTATTTTATTTTTTTTTATTTTATTGAATTCATTAAATGCATTTCCAAGAAATCATCAATTAAAGTGAAAAAAATAAAATAATAAATTTAATGTTTTAATAACATTAATAACATTGATTACAATAAAACAAATTAAATGAAAAAGAGTTTATGAAGAATGAAATCATTACTTCTTTATACTTAAACTACTGTACATTGAAAGGAAAGATAAGAGAAAAAACTTTTTTTATGTATTTGTTTTGCAAAAATAAACATTTATATAATTAATATGTTTAATAATGTGTAGAAAACGGGAAGGAATAATCATTATTATGTAATTTCTATATAATTTTCCAAATAATGATTTTCAATGATTGCATTAAATATTTATATAATAATAAAATCTCTAATAATATTCAATTGTTTGATAACAAAAATGAAGTCAATTAGACTAATACTGTTAGTAAAGTCAGAAATTTGATAAAAAAAATTATTTAAAGAATTTGTGTGAATTTACAAAATTACAAAATTGTTGTTATAATGGCATTGAACTTGATTTTTTGGGTTATAAGTTGTAACACACTTATAATTATGACAAATATAACTTTATTTGTTTTAAAAGCCATCAATCAATCATTTAAATAGAAACATGCTTTCAATGAATTAATATTATAATATTATAATATTCTATTAAAATAAATAATATTTTTCAAAAATAAAATACTTTTTCTTATTACTAAACAATAAGTATAAAAAGCCAATAATAAATGTTATAAAAGTTTATAAAATGCATAGAATAATCAATTATAAGTTAAAATCAATATACAATTAGATGATTATTCTATGGTATACTGAAATAAAAAAAAGTAAAGAACATTCAACTATAATATCAACCGGTTTTTTCAATGTATTTCAAAATGATATACCAAAAGAATATAAAATTATTTTTGGATACCATTTCTAACCCATTAAATACTTAAATTAAAAGAGAGTGAATGAGAGAGAGAGAGAGAGAGAGAGAGAGAGAGAGAGAGAGAGAGAGAGAGAGAGAGAGAGAGAGAGAGAGAGAGAGAGAGAGAGAGAGAGATAAATTGACTTGAATATGTATTATAATAAAAATAAATACATTACTAAATATAAGCTATTAATACTGTACACATGAATTTAGTTACTTTGAAAATATAAAAAAATAGAAATATTTGATAACATAGCAAAATATATTAAATAATTTAGTGTTGTTGTTATTTTGTAAATTTACGATCGTTTTCTTATTACGATTACACCCAAAAAAATATTTAAATTTCATATAAGAGACATTGAATGTAAACTTTATAGAAATTACAATATTAATGGATTTTTTTACAAAAACTAATACAAATACTAGATTATATATATTWAAAAAAATAAATATATTTACAACAAAATAATATTTAAACTTTATTATTTGTTTATTAGTAAAATATATTTTTAAAAAGCAAAAACTTTTAAAATTCAAAACCTGTTTTAATTTAAAAAACTATTCTAAAAAAAGTTATGATAATCTGATGTTATATTTGGTTGTCCAACAATTGTCATTTAATTTGGGAGTGTTTTGGCAACACATTTGGCAAAATAGTAATAAATAATATCCATATTATTATTATTATTATTACATATATTATTCACTTTTGACTACAAAACAGAGTTTTGTTAATTTTAAACGCTGTCATTGCAATTGCTTTTTGTGTGTTATTTATTTCATTTGACTTTTTAAATGACAGATCAGTTTAAAAGGAGAGCTAAAGATAAATGAAATGAGCATTAATTTTAAGGCCAATGATTTTCATATACTGTTTATAATATACTATTGTATATACAGTATATAGTATATACTGGGTCTAGTTCATAAGATCTAAACTCATTTGACCCAAACTTATTTGACCCAAATCATTAGAACCAAACTTACTTGACCCAACTCATTTGACCCAAACTCATATGACCCAAATCACTTGACCCAAACTCATTTGACCCAAATCACTTGACCCAAATCACTTGACCCAAATCATTTGATCTAAATCATTTGACCCAAATTACTTGACCCAAATCATTTGACCCAAACTTATTTGACCCAAATATTATTTTATTTTTTCAAACTATATAATATATATAAATGATACAAAACTTAATAGTTAGAAAATTTAGAACATTAATATTTATTCCATATTCATTTTTTAACCAATTGGTAATATCTCTGGCTTTTTATATAATATTTTTAAAAATTAATATGTAATACTATTTACAGTAAATAAATATTAATAAGTTCTAAATTTTATAACTATTTAGATTATTATTTTATTAATTTTTGTATCATTTATATATATTATATAGTTTGAAAAAATAAAATAATATTTGGGTCAAATAAGTTTGGGTCAAATGATTTGGGTCAAGTAATTTGGGTCAAATGATTTAGATCAAATGATTTGGGTCAAGTGATTTGGGTCAAGTGATTTGGGTCAAATGAGTTTGGGTCAAGTGATTTGGGTCATATGAGTTTGGGTCAAATGAGTTGGGTCAAGTAAGTTTGGTTCTAATGATTTGGGTCAAATAAGTTTGGGTCAAATGAGTTTAGATCTTATGAGTGCGACCGGTATATACTATATACCGAAGCGTTAAGACATTTAGCGAAATAGTCGATCAAAACCTGTGGTGTCTTACCATTTGTTTTTTGAAAAGACGTTTAACGCAATCATCACAAATAATATCACAAAAATGTTTATAAATTGCATACCATTTTGAGTGCATTTTCTGTTTTGTGTAAAATTCTCTAATTTTTTTCACTTTGATGTTGTTGTGAAAAATCCATTAAAATAGTTCACACACTTTTCAAGGTGTTTAACATAGTTATTATTATTATTATATGGTATTTTAAACGGCTTTTATATTAAAATATTGTCTGCAATATTTTTACAATAAATAATACAATACTAAGAATTTTTAGTGAAAAAAATAAATTTAATATAAAATAGGATTTGTTTAAAATAGATATTATTAATAAAAAATGTTTTTAAGGCTTAAATATTCTCAAACATCTTTAAATAGGTTTGTAGCATAAAAAAAGTTTTATTAAATTTCTAAAATAAAATATTTATATTTCTTAAAATATATTATTTTATAACATTCTTATGACTTTATACTACTAAAAGATTTTGAATAAAAAACATTAATTAATATTTAAATATTATTCAAAACTAGTTGTCTAAATGTTTAATCAAAATAACTCGTTTACTAAGTCAAGAGTTAAATTAGAAAGCAATCTATAAATAAAAAATATTAATATTAATATATAAATGCTGTCAATTAATCAAATGATGAATTTTTAGCAATTTTATGGTATAATAAATTATGTGACTTATATAAAAAATATAAGTTATATTAAGGTATATAATAAATGTATTTTATATTATATATTTACATTTAAAAACGAGACTACAATTAATGGTGTAATAAATAATAATTTATTTGATAAATTATTTTGCTATAAATCAGTGATACTATTAATTTTTGAATAAAAATATCAATCATTATTTAGTTAATACTGTATATTGTATTGACAGTAACTTTTAAATATAACGTTATCTACTTTATTGGATAAATATAATTAAGAAATGCTTTTAAAAAGTTTTTTTAAAGTAACTCATTCAACATAAATTAGCAAATAATAATTGTCACGTGATTTATGTTTTACTTAAAATTTTATTTCATAACCTAAATTTATATTAAATTTATATAATTTATAACATTGTATTGTATTGCATTGAATTTTAGGTTACATTTAATTTTTATATTAATTATATATTTTTAAAACAATAACAAACTCTCAAAAGAATATTTTGGAGAGAAGTTTAATACATTATAATCATATTTTGATGGGTTAGTAGAGAATCACGAGTTTTTCATTGTGTTTTATGTCGCTTAAGTTAATATTTATTTTAACCAAAAATTGCAATTTTTTAGATAAATAGTTTTATGAATAGTGTAAAAGTGATTGTATAATTACAAAATTAAACTATTTTAGTAACATTTTAATTAAGTTTATTGAAATTGCAATATAATTTTCAACAATATATATTATGCAAATATACCTATAAATACCTATTACTTATAATATAAGGTATGAGTCATATAACATACCTGTATATTATTATATTTTTGTAGATTGTGTACAATATATCAGCTTAGCTTTAGATAAGTATGATTAAATTTGGGCTAATACTAAATACAATATTGTTATTAAAACTTTACATAACTTTTAAAACTATGATAAACATGGAGACTAAAAAATAGTTAGTTATAAAAGTATGCTATCAATAAAAATATGATAAAAATAGTTTGAGTCAAAAAAAAACTTTTTGTAAACTACTGTTTGTTTTCTTTTAAACAGATGATAGGTTTTTGGGTGATATGATTGCTAACTAATATAGAAATAGACAAAAATGATGTATTTCATCGGCAAACCGATGATTCATTTAATCAGTAAAAACATGTTTTCAGTTAAGTTTAATTCTAAATAAATGCATACAACAAGTGGTGAATGTATTCAATATATTTTTATGATTGCAAAAGAAAAGCCATATATTTATAGAGTATATTACTGTATATACAGTGTAGTAGAGACTGAGGCCATAAATTGTATACATTTTGTTGGTGTTTATCATTTATCTAATATAAACCATTAAGTTTTCAGGGATAAGCTAAGGATTGGGAATAATGTTTGGAATAGTTATCAGTGATAGCATTGATAGCATTGATAGGGAAATGAATTTAATATTCAAAATGACCCAAACATTAATAAATATACTAATTTTCTAAGTAATGTAAATTTATATTACTTGATAACCAATCAAAACTTTTCATAATTTATCGCTGATTATCATTGTATTGGTTAATATTACTATTAGTGACTCATCTCTACTATAGATAATTCATTGAATGCTTTACTGGATTTTCAGATGTGTTTGTTATGCTCTGAATATTTATGACATACAGAGTTACCATCAATTTTAAACACAAAGTATAAACAAAAATATTTTATAATATCATATAAAACATGGAAATGCTTTTTATTTAAATATATGGTACTATAGTTATCTGGATCTCAACATTCACTGTTAGTCATATATTTTAATTAACAAAAACAGCGAGAGATTATAACTTATATAATTTTTACTGTATATATATATATATATATATATAATTAATACACAACTCATTTGATTGTATTTAATGATATGAAAAAAAGTTTCATTAAAATATCTGAATATTAATGTGATTGTGTGGGCAGTCAATTGTCATTAATTATTAGCATTTATTTTAATTTTATTTTTACGATCTATTTATGAGATAAAAATCTTTATCTTCTATAAAAAAAAAGTTTTGCGAAAAGGATTTTTCACTCATTATAATTAAAGCTTTTTTCTTTCTCTCTATCTCTTTGTCTAAGAAGTAAATCAATTGAAAATGATATCATGTATGGTATGGTATATAATATATATATATCTATTGACAAATATCTGCCGTATAATACTGTATAAGTCATATACATATTTTGTAAACTACATGAGCCAATGACCCCTCATATTGGTGTTAACGCCCAGCAGATGTATCACTACTGTGTCGATGTATTGACTAAAATATCTGACTGACTGTCTCTCTCTCTCTCTCTCTCTCTCTCTCTCTTTCAGTATATGTATAATATGTACTGACAGAGGGAGACCCTAATAATAGTCGATGTGATTATTAATAGATTTGTAATAAATAACGTGTTATTATTGGAGACATACAACAGATATGATTAGATTGCAATGTATTTATGAAAGTAATGCATTGATTGCATTATTTCATATGAATTGCTAAATACAGGGCTTTACTAGTGGTTAACGTTATTGTCTATACATTTGTTGATCGGTATTTGGCTTTTAATTATTGGCTTTTAAATAGACTTAACATTTATTGTGTAATCATTTGCTATTACACTACAGTATATTGTGTTTGTGTTTTGTCTAATGTATTGTTTGTATGGATTTGATTACAAATCATAAGACAATCGCTGTCTAATCAATTAATTATTTTTAGTGTCATCTCATTAGACATTACTTACATTATTAGTAAATATTATTTATAATTAATTTTTGTGATGAAATGTGTTTAAAAAAGATATATTGAAAATAAAAGTGTATTTTTAATTTTAATATTTTAAACGCAAAATTAATGATTTGTTTGTTGCAATCATACATATAATGCAAATTTATTTTATTTAACAAAATATTTTGATATCATATATTAATATTTGTTGTGTAATAATATAATAAAAATTGTTATAAATTATATTCAAATCAATTGATTAGATAATCATATCATTTATTCATATGTATAACGAAATGAGTCATCGATTAATTGATTGTCATATTATGTAATAAATATTATTATTGTTATTATTATAACAAAATAAAAATAAAGACAAATATTTATTATAAAATATTTGTTACGTTTAGATAGTATGAGTGCAACCAATGATAGCATCAAATGCTTGAATAATAAGACAACAAATAGTTTACAATTAATTGAATCCAAAGTAAGCGATGAATTAAAGAGCGACACAACCAATGACTGCAACTTCTGGGAGGTATTTATCAATTGATTATATCATATCATAGATATATTGATTATAAAAAATATACATTTTATTGGTGACAATGCCTTAAAGCCATTCAATTAGTTTATTAAGATAATAGTGTTAATAGTTTAAACACCGGTTCAACACAATAGTCGGTGTTTTAATATAACTTAATTTGTTTGTCCATTGAATGCATGTCTCGATTGGGTATTCAATAGTGTTGTTGTGATTGCAAAACAAGTTATCCTTCACTACATTCATAATACAAGTGCTAAATATAGTTAAGACTATTGATTATTACAGAGACTCAAGACTTAGTAGTTTTCAATAAGTCATTCATTTGGTTATTAACATCACATGTGTTGAGACCGCAGTCTATTGAGCCATAAATTGGTTCATCTTTTCTTAACATTAAGAGATGAGATTAATATCAATTGTTTTCAATTATGTTTTACAACTTCATTATTATAAATACATTCAATTGTTTTTATGCATAAGCTATGAGTGTTTTGTTTTAGTTGATGTTATCATTTGGTGAAAAATTTCCTTCAAAAAACAAATACATATTTTCGTATTTAGTTTAATATATAAATAATGATAAGTATATCAAATGTTTGACTTTCTTCAGCTCCTTCTAAGATGTTTTACCACTTGAGTTGTGCTGAACTCTGGCTTTCATTTATTGGTTTCATTGAGAGAGAAAATGTGTGTTTCATTTGGCGATCACTATATTATTAATGGTATTATTATAAACACAACTTCTGGTATTATAATTGAATGCCATTCACTACTATAATACTACCACTACTGTAGTAATAGTCAAATACTTGAACCACAAGTTCAGCCCTCAAAAGGCAATACAATTTTTTTTAATAAAAAATAGTTAAATATATATATTATTGTTATACAGTATATTAGTATTATTTTCTGTATATATAAATTATTTTTCAAAAATTTTGTAGTGATTTTGTTGATCTAAAAGTTTACGTATCGGTGATTATACTGGAAATCTAGAGGTACTCCAGCTCTCAAATATGATAATCACTTGAAATGTGTTGCGATTAAAGTTTCAATTAGTTTTGTTTAATATTGTTATATTGTGTCCGACAAATAATATTTAATTCATGGATATATTTCACAGAAACCCTTTTACTAATACAATATTTTTTAAASAATAGTTGATTTGTTTCTTGTAATTGACTTTTTGATGTAATTTACGTCAAGAAAATGCATTTTATTTTTCTCTATTGATATCAATCAATTTTTTGTGCCAATTATTTGGCAGAAAACAGTTTATTTACTGTTATTTTTTAAAATCAATTTTACTGAATGTTTTTGTTAAGACAACAAATACTTGTTTTGCTTTTACATCTCATTAAATAAAATGAATTGAATTATTGTATGACTAAACCTCACAAACAGTTATGTGATTATAAAACTTTGATTTTAAATAACTAAGTTTTGTTGTTATAATTGAGTGAATGTTTTTGTTTTATATTATAATATATTATAATATAATTAGCATTTGATTACAAATTATTTCAATATTATATCATTTGTTTTATCAACTCGTCTTTAAAAAATGTGTTATTAGTTGATCACAGATGTGGCCAAAGATTTAGATCTCGTCCTACAAGACTTGTCTCCTGACTTAGAGATATCAAAAAATTTGGTCAACAATGGAGATATCGATGAACGCCTCGTTAGTACCGTTGATGACTGCAACCCAACCTCTTCAGAGCCGAAGTCATCGGATTCCCTTTTATTCGAGTCGATTGGTGTCGGAATTGCAGGAAATGATTCACAACAACAACAAAATCAGAAAACTAGAGACAACTGCAACTTCATTGATAGCAAATCATCAGATAATAGAAATTGTATGTTAAATATTTATTTTTAATTTTTAAAAAAATATTTTACTATCACTTACTGCAAAATATTATCAATATTTTTTGTCTATTATTACTTTTTTAATAAGCAATATTAATGTTTTTAAAATCAATACTAACTTTATGGCTACTATTTTATCTCAAACTAATCACTAACTACTCAATGCTTCCGTAGCTATCGCTGAAGTATTTCAAGATAAGAGTTCATCTCAATTACAAACTAATTGTTGCGCTCTTTTACCAACTTTTACGGCTTACTCTTCGCCTATTACTTCACCCCAACCGCTGATAGACTCAGCGACTATAATGTCCTCTCAGATTCAAAATACCTCTTATAGCTCTCAATTACTATCAATGATGGATAACCTTACTATCACTTCAGAAACTACTAGTCCTCTATCTGTAAGTTATGTCTATGGGATAAGTGCTTTGACTTTAAAGTTTTTAATGGATTGTTTCTCTAATAAACATTAAGTTTATGTTTAACTAATAATTTTTATATATTTCATTATAAATGCTAACTATTTTAAAAATTTGTGTTTATTTTTGTTGAACTATTAAATGCATGCAAAAGCTTTTTAATAATTTATGCTATATTTTAAATATTGATATTTTTGCAGAACTCTAATATAAATGAAGTAGAAATTAATGAAAAAGAGCTAAAAGTGGACACTGTTTTGGCAGACAATACATCAAATAATGACAAGAATGAGAGCGACAACAACTCTGGGAACAGTTGTGACTCAATTCCTGCATCTATTGGTCTCTTAGAGCGTCTTATTCGTTGTCATCCGATATGGTTTTTGGCTGATATCGGACGGGCAGGCAGTGTACACCTCCTTCAGGGCAAAGAGCCCGGATGTTTCATTGTAAGTCATAGTTATTTTATATTAATTTTTAATCTAATATTGTCACCAACTGTCTTGAAATCTAAATTTATATCTTATAGTATATTTTTATTGATACTTTGAGACCCCAAAAGTTATTTTAGATGTTTTGTATTTATGTTGAAATATTATATCATTATTATATTTTTGGCATTAAATCAATCCTAAATATTGCAATTATACTATTATATCTACAAATACTGCCAAATTTAGATAATTATACAGTATTTTGTGAACTAAGCTTTTTAACCATTAGATTTATGTGAACCAATTTATAGTATTCAATGAGTTTGAATTTATACGAATGTAATTTTTAGCAAATAATTTATTTTTAAATAAAATTTTAGACTAAAATACATATAATTATAAAATATTTCTTTGTGAGGAAACTAAAAAAGCGAATAAACTTTTGAAAAATTCATAACTTATTAATTTAATTGAATTGATGTCCTATTTATACTATAGTTTGCTTTAAATACGCTTTTCATTACAATTATGAGCTAATTGTGCGGAAAAAATATTATTTCTTATAATAGAATATAAGACATTGTATTGATTAATAAAAATTGAATACAATTTTATTGTGTCTGAGAATCAATGTTACAATAATTGTATATAACTGACAAGTTTTACACAACTTATTAATTGAGTTTTAATTAAAAACTATTTTAGTTATTATAAATGCTGTCATTTTGACATTATTTCCAAAGCCATTATTAAATTAGTTTTAAACTCTTTATTATTCAAACATTTTATTATTCAAAATTGAATAGCAAAGTGTTTGGTAATTGATTATATCAATTGAAAATAATAATATTTTTAGTTATCGACAAAATAATAAACTAATTAAAAATAATGCTTAAATTATGAGTTAAAAATATCTTTTATAACTAGTATTTTTGCTGACATTTGATTTTTTGTCAGTTTTTTGGTAAACAATAAAAATGTATTGAGATTGCTTTGCTGTATATAAAATATAACATAAAATTATATTTTTGCTCTTTAACCTAGTTTTTGAAAAAAATTAATTTAATATCTTATTATTTGCATAATTTTCTATAAATTAAAATTATCATTTTATTTTTATAAAATAACGATTTAAAATGAATAAATGTAATTTTAAATACTTTTATCTGATTAGTCACTCATAAAAAGTAACTATTGAATTAGTTTTTAACGAAAAATAAAAAAAAATAATTTAAAGACTAGTTAAATATATTTTTAAATTATCACTTTATTATGATATATTCAATATATAGTTACTATTTTAGTATTTTTTGCAAATTTTACGATTGCAACTAATGCTAGTGAAAAAATAAAATTATTAATTTAAATATGATATTCATTTATCAAATAAGACTATTTCTCAATTATGAAGCTTTTTATTTTACATTTATTTATTATTTATGAAAAACTCAGCTAAAATAAATAGCATTTTAATAAAGCAATTACTTATGACATTGATATGCATTTATCGCTATTTCAAAACCTATTTTAATAGAGAGTTTCCTTTTGACGATAAGATTGATGTCTATGTCTAATGTTTGACCTTTTCGTTTGTATTAAACTAAAGGTTCGTCAGTCAAGCAAACCAAACACAATGGCTCTATCGGTTCGTTTGCCCGAAGGTCAGGACCGGCATATCGAGCACTACCTGATAGAAGACGCCGGTAATGGAAAACTTCATTTGGAAAACTCAGTCAATTATTTCAGTGCAATTCCGATGTTAGTCTGTCACTACACAACCTGTTGCGATGAACTACCCGTGCAATTGACACTTCCTAAAGTGCTTGTCCAGTCAAGTCGACAACAAATGACATCATTGGCTCTGTTAGGCCAAGACTTTTGGCAATCAAGTCTTTCAAAACTTAAGAATTCAAGTGACACGATAAGTGATGACAACACATCCAATGAGTCGAATTCAAGCAACAGAAAAGTCAATATCTGTTCCACTTTCAAAAGTGATTCTAACCCACAGCCACCTCCTATTCCTCCAAAACAAGATGTATCGAGTATTGATCCAATTATTGATACCAAAAAGTCATCAACAGTTCCAATAATGCCGTTAACAACACAACCGAAGTTACCTCCAAAACGACCAGATCCGCCACCAATTCCTCCACGAAGTAAATTTAATACATTGAATAAAATTGAGAAATCATTGAACTATTCAACTAATGTCTCAAAGCCAGTGGCTATTGAAATGAATGAAAGTGMGATTGAGTCGAAACCAATATCGGAGACGACAGCACTTAATACCGAAATAACATTAATTGAAGTAAAAGATGTCAAATGCCGGCGTAAATCGCCCAACAATTTGTCGATCAATTCTAGTCAGCAATCAGTCGATAATAAGCCAAAAGAGTTCCGCAGAAGTATACCAAATGCTCAAAAAAGAGTTTTATGTTATCGGAGTTCACTTCATGATAAAGAAAGCGATTACGAAGACATTTGGGGATCAAATACACTTTTCAAACGTACGTCCGATCCTAACAAAGCTACTCTCAATGGTATTAAAGAAATTAAAATGATTAATAAAAGTCATAGAAGTACTCAAACAGAAAGTACTGTTTTAAATCAGGAGTCAACAGCTATTCTCAATTCGTATCCATTTTATATCGATCCGATTGATCTCATTTCCAATAGAAATGACACGACCATCAAGTCTTCAGTTATGAGACGATCTGATACTGATATCTTCGAAACAAAACCATTGTATACAACATCACATTTAGGTCTTTCAATGGAAAGTTTAATTGATAGCATTAAAACTCATTCATCACAAGTGGATACTTGTCAACAATCGTTTAGCACATATAAACCCAATTTTCAAGATGTCTCACTTCAAGTCGGTTTGAGTACTTTTGCAAGATTTAAAACCARTCCTCGCGAACCGTTTTGGACATTAGATAAGTCATGGCAATGGCTCGACGATAACATTTCGATGGTTTGTAGGCGATCTTTACAAAGAGAATCCATGTCTGGTCCCAGAAGAAGTAGTTTTGTTGAGTCCATGAGAAGTGATAAAACAACTGTTGAAGATATGATTCAAGTTCAAGCACCGGAACTATGCGTTGATAAGATACCTAATCTGGATAAAAGAAATACTAACTGTAAACAAGTTGATGAAGATTTGAATAAAAGATATGATAATTTGGTTGTTTATAACAAGAAAGAGTTGGTCAGACAGGAAACATTCAACGATACAGACACTGAATTTAGTGAGCCGTGGGATAGCGATTGGTGGCAATCGATGCTTAAGAAAGTGTTTCCTAAAAACTCGTTGATTCAGTTTAGTCCTGAAAACGAGGAAAACAACGTCCTATTGAATAGAGAGTTATTAATTAATAGCTGTGAGAACAGGTCGTCAATAACAAGTTTATCGGATAGYCACCGAACCAGTACTTTCGATATAACAGAAATTAGTTCAATGGGTGATCTGCGATCTAATGCTTCAATTGGTGGTCATCGAGAATCCGCTGACAGCGAAAGGTTAACAGTTTTGGAGACAAATGACTGCGGAATTGGTTTAAATATTTGTAATTATGTATTCAAACTGTCGGCTGAAGGAAACAATACATTTGCTAAATCTGTCGATCATTTCATTGAATGCACTAAAGAGACTAATGATTTAAATCCTATTATGTATGTTAATGTGAAATGTTTTTTATTATAAATAAGTAAAAACTTATTTTTTCTTATTTTTGTTTAAATATAGAGTAATGCGAAATATTCGTCAGTTTATGAACGGCATGAAGAACTATCTGGTAAAGCACGGGGAGGGACAGCTCAAAGAGATGATTGAAGAAGAAAGAACTAAATTACAATCCAACGAATTTTTAAACATTGATGCAATCCTCGAGAGTGCCTTACATCGACTCGTTATCAAACCATTGAAGAATTTCTTATATCAACTATTTATTAGCGAATATAACAAAAACGGTTCCCTAAAAATTTTGTCGCATAATATAAAAGAAGCTCAAAATAAAACACCACAAGAGTTGGGCGTTCGGCCGGAACTGTTGCCAATCGACAACAAAATAATACTCGATATACAAAAACACTTGTGTCGACTGCAACAGTCATACTCTCCGCTCAAAAAATTGGAGTACTTGTTGTCCGCCATATCATCTATTTATAACAGTGTTCGGCACCAGAAAACTGAAACCACTGAATCAACTAATGGTCACTCAARACGTGAATACGCCTCCTTTGGTGCCGACGACTTCCTTCCCATATTCATCTATGTTCTCATTCAATGCGGTGTCATATCAGCTGAGATTGAGGCCGACTATATGTTTGGTTTACTACAYCCTTCTATACTTAGCGGTGAAGGCGGCTATTATTTAACTACTTTATCTTCCGCTGTCAATGTTATCAAAAATATGCATCAAATGATTGGTCCCGAATATAACACAATTCATAGCACAAGTGATTCAAATGACGACTCGAGTCTTACACATCAAAACATTCATCAAATGAACAGCTCTTCCAGTGATACGAGTGTCACATCAGGTTCTGTCGGTCAACACTCTCCTTACAATCAAATAAAGCTTCCGATTATTGTTAATATGAAAGCATATATGCGAGTCTTGATTCCCGATGAGTTCACTTCGAGTATTGTAGTCAAGACTCTACCGGTTCGACCAAATATGACCACAAAAGAGATTTGCAAAATGATTGCACACAAACTTAAAATAACAAACTCTGAAGACTTTGGTCTCTTTCATTTGGTTAACGGCAATGAGATTCTTCTCAATGACTCTGATTTGCCTCAAGTCATCAAATCKGAAGCTGCAGTCACTGACCGCGAAACTCATTTTGCTTACAAGAGATTCGATGCAAAGTTTATTTGGCCCTTAAATCACAATTTTTAGCTTTAATTACTGTATAATCTAATCTAAATATATCATATATTTGTATCACTTTTTAATCTTTTATATCATATATATTACTTTGCTATTATATTGTAATATAAGATGAATTACAGTATTTATTGATTTAAAATATAATTGATTGCAAATTGCAATTTTGATAAATTATATATTTTTAAGTTAAATTTATAAATTAAGCTTTTTTAAATCAATATATTAGGCAATTGTTTTTTAACTGCTCATCATTTTCTAGTATTAATAATTTGATTTTTTGTTTTACATTTGTAAAAAAAYTTTATTTGATATTAATTAAAAACTATATTAATTATAAGATATAAATATTTTATAATTCATTTGATACATAAGTATAAAATTTGTGTATAAAAATAAATAGTAATCAAATTAATGACCGACTTTTGCAATGAGTTCGTCAACCATTTCAGACAATTGTTTGTTTTCAGTTGACATTTGATCCAACAATTTATTCAATGAGTAGACATTCATTTCACTTTTTTTGACTGCATTTTCATAGTTATTATGAAGTTGTGAGACGAGTGCCAACAGACTAACGTTCTCTTGTTTAGATTGACTCAACTCTTGTTGCAATAAAATCTTCTTTTCCTCCAAAACTGACATTTTTTCTTTTGATAATTCATTATCTGTTAACTTATTTGTCTTCAATGCTAACAAATCGGTATATGTTTTCTCCAATTTTTGTTTTAATGAACTCATCTCTAGTTTAATGGATGAAATTTCTTCTTTGGTTCAGATGATGAACTCTTCTTCGAATATTTCAGTAATAGCTACAGAAGCACTTGGGCTCTGAAGAGGTTCGGTAGCCGTCATCAACGGTATAATTAATGCATTCATCGATATCTTCATATTTGWCATCTCTAAGTCATGAGACTATTCTGGTAAATCATATATTATTTTTAAGTTAAATTTATAAATCGATATATTGTCTACAATTTCAGATAATATTAAGCAATTGTTTTTTAAATGCTCATTATTTTCTAGTATTAAAAATAATTTGATTTTTGTTTTGCATTTGTAAAGATTTTATTTGATATTTTAAAAAATTACATTTATTTGAATTATAAGATATTTATAAGTAAAACATTTGATTCTTAAGTATAAAATTTGTTTATAAAAATAAATTGCAATAAAATCAACAATTAATGACCGACTTTGGAAATGAGTTCGTCAACCATTTCAGACAATTGTTTGTTTTCAGTCGACTTTTGATCCAACAATTTCTCAAATGAGTTGATCTTCATTTCACTTTTTTTTGACTGCATTTTCATTGACATCAACTCATTCTTCATTTTATTGAAATCTTCTAAAGAACTAAATATAAGATAAAAAATCAATTAAAATATAAGTTTTTGTTTAGTGAGACATTGCTTACCATTGCTGACTATCAAAAGTCTGACACTTGTTGTAGTAATGGCGACATTGAGTCTCTAAATCTGAAAGTTGTTTACTAATCAAATTATTTTGAGTTTTCAATGTTTGGACAGTTTCTTGAGATTCTATGAATTCRTTGTTTATTTTTTGGTGATCTTTAATCAGTTCAAATTGATTTTTCTTAAGTGCCATCATTTCATCCATTGTTGTCCTTAAAGTTTCTTTCAGTTTTTGCTTCTCTATCTCTAAAGTATCACATGTTTCGGCCGCTTCTTTGTATAGATTTTGATTGATATCATGTAATTGTGAGACGAGTGCCAACAGACGAACGTTCTCTTGTTTAGATTGACTCAACTCTTGTTGCAATAAAATCTTMTTTTCCTCCAAAACTGACATTTTTTCTTTTGATAATTCATTATCTGATAACTTATTTGTCTTCAATGCTAATAAATCGGTATCTGTTTTCTCCAATTTTTGTTTTAATGAACTCATCTCTAGTTTAGTGGATGAAAGTTCTTCTTTGGTTGCCATCAGCTCTTGTTTAGTCAAAACCAACTCTTGACCGACTGATATATATTCTTGTTTGGCTGTTGAGAGTTGTTGCGATTGATCACCCAATAGTTGTTTTGTGGATTCAAGTTCTTCTTCAGTGATTATCAGTTGATTTCTAATTTGTAGTAACTCTTGTTCGGCGTTAAGATTTTTATTYTCCATTTTCTTTAATTTATTTTCCAATTCTTTGATTTGATTTTTATATTCGTTTGTTTCGTGTAAATCAAATGAAAGTATATCAGGTTTTGGGCTATTAATAGGTGTTTTGGCGATTACTTTGGGACTGTCGGACAGTCTGATCCTTTGAAATATATTCGTTAAATCCGAACAATCATTTCTAATATCATTTATGATATCATTTCTATTATCACTTTTGATTTCACTTCTGATTTCACTTCTGAGTTCACTTCTGAGACCAAACGGACTATTTCTCAAATCTCTTGGACTTTCGCTAAATGACTTGTTGTTGATATCCATTAATGGATCAAATTTACGGACGAGTGAATCGCGACTTTTGAAGCTCGTCTTTGATTTAAGATTTGTATCTTTTTTGGCATTCAATGGATCCAAGAGATTGTCATACTTAGAGGCAATACTCTTATAATAATCAAATTGTGACGAATCATAACTATCATTGAATTTTGACGGCGAGTAATGCCAATCATAAAGACTTGAAGTGCTTGTCTTTGGCGAGTCTTTTGGTCGCTGTTTTGATGAATCCTTCTATTAATTTACAAACAATTTATTTAAAAATATATATTTAGTTAAATAATAATTTTTAAAATATTTTTTCAATACCTTTCGCGCTAAAAAATTATACATATTTTAAGCATTTATTTTAGACTATCAATAGTTAAATTATTATTATTAAATTATAATGATTGTAACAAAACAGAAATTAAATCTATAAAAATCACAAAAAATTAAAATTACATTTATTTAACTTAACAGAACATTGTGTAGAAATAAATATTAGGATTACTTTTAAAATGTAAATATTTTTTCAAACATTATATCAAATTTTGAGTTAATTTTATAAAAATTTATTGGCTTTTGGCTTATTTAGAGAAAATTAATGCCAAAAAACGAGTTTTTAAAACAATATATTATTTTCTTTATATTAAATAAACACATAATTACTATATGTGTGTTGAAATAAATTAGTTTTTTATATTTAATAACTTATTGAATGTTTAACAAAAAAAACAGTTACATCACATTGAAAGCAAAATTTTGAGGTCAACTGATTATTGCCCACAGAGTGATAGTCCCACTCAATACAGTTGTGACCAAATAAAGCATTTGTGGGAACAGACAGGAGTTACCATTGAAATAGTTTAGTATTCATCAAAACTATGATTATATGATATATGGCATTAAATTACACTTATATTTACCTCATTTTGGTCTTTACTTTGACACAGATTAGACTCATCATTGTTTGGCACCGAATGAATGATTGAAAAATCAGCAATTRATGGGTTGGCAGTCAGTGTCTGATCCATGACATCGTAATATTCAGGCGAACGCATTGACTGATCCATTGAATAATAAGAAGCGTCCAACTCTTCCGTGTCCTCCGACATCATTGACTGGCTATTGATATCAACTTTAATGATCAGTTCATTAACTAAAGAGCTGACAATTGACTTGATTTCCTTATCKYTTGACTTTTTGTTGAATTAAATTAAATAATTTTTAAAAATTCAGTTTAAATCAAATAATTTTTCAAAATATTTACCAAATTTGATGAATTGTCACAATATTGACTGTTCTGTATTGAAGACATATTTATGTTTAAAATATTAAAAATTTATAATAAAATATAGATCTAATATCTAATTAATATCTAATTTTTGACTTTTAGTAAATTATTTTTCATAAAAATCATTATAATCTGAATAACCACTAAATCAATGTTTTATTATCATTCATACAAATTGAGTCAAAAAATAAGTTTAGCTGAGATTACAAATAAAAATTGTCACTAAAATAACTCATAAAAATACTAAAATAGTATTAATGACTAAAATAAACTAATCCTCTAAAATAATCTAATATAATGAAAACATTGACTTTCAAATGTTTTGTGAATCAAATCTATAAATTAATGTTAAATGTTATGTTTTTTTGGAAATATATTAATACTTTATTATATTTTTATCGATGAGATTAATAGTTTAATATTCATATAAAATACAMAATCATTATAGTATTAAATTAATAATTTGGTTTTATTATTGACATTGAATAATTTTATTTTCATTTAAACCTTAAGTTATGCAAATATATCAATATATATATATAACGTTTCAAATAAAATCTGAAAATTGAATCATTGATATTAATATATTTAAGTAAATTAATATCAATACACAGGAAATAAATTTAATTAAATTATTTCAAACATTTCTATATTTTGATTCATTTTAAGCATTTTGAATGATATTATTTAACAACAACAAAAAAGTTTGCTTAAAATAATGATTTTTATAAAACACAAAATATTTATTAAAAAAATATTGTCAATTTAGTTGTGATTAATATATCTTTTTATTTGATAACAACAAAGTGAAAATATTGATTAAATTAAATTTATATTATTTTGATTTTATGATAAAAAAAATATATTTCATTCATGATTTTTTTWWAAAAGTCATTGAGTTATTTTTATTATGATAGTAGCAAAACAAATCTAGTTAATGCAAATAAACAATTAATAGTTTCAATGCAATCCATAGATTAAAATTAAATAAATTATATTAAATAAAAAATAAATATACTGTACATCTTATAAAAACTATTAATTATAAAATTACAAAATAATTATTTGAAAACATTATAAAAGAATTTAATTATAATTTGTAAAAAAATTATATCAAAAAAATTATAAATTAAGGAAATGTGTGATTATGAAATATCAGTATTTTTTAATATAAACAATTTTGCAAACATTTGAATAAAACAGAAACTACTATAACATATATAGTCTATAAGCCACTAATTTTGTTATAAATAAAATATCAAATTTAATGAGTTATTTCATTCATTAGTTTGTGAAACAGTAAACAAATCTAAGTTTTCATTGATTTTTAAATCGTTTAAAATTTGCTGATTTTATATCAACTAATGTCTCGTCAAAGCCATGCATCAGATTCTGTAAGCGATTGATTGTCGCCTGAATTCTGTGACACAAAAAAACAAAATAATTTATTTTAAAAACTATTGGTTTGTTTAGTTAACAATAAAATAATAGTATTTTTTGTTAAAAATAGTGACAATTCTGGGAAAACTTCATACTTAAGACAACTGAAGCCAAAGTCTTGCATGAATTCCAGTTTCCTTTGTGTCATCGATAACTTTATGTGTTGTGAATCAGTTTTGGTGATCATTAGTTCAAATAAGTCCTCAATTTTGCTTACATCCAGATCTGACTTTTGATATTCAATGTCAATCAATCGCAAGTATAGGTTATAATTGTTTGAATCAATTTTGAGTGCATTGTTCAACACATCGACCGCACGTTGAGTGTCGCCAACGATCTTAAAGAGGAAACGACTATATCTTATCGATAAATGGGAACAGAGTTTTGGGAAATCGCAAAACTTGTCAATTGCCGACTCAWACTGTAAGTGCACTTCATTTATATCACCCTTTCGGTGAAATAAATTAATTTTACTGACAATTGATTCAATAAATTGTGGATTTGCTGACTGATAGTTGTCTAAAATAGCGAGCGCTTCATTGATATTTCCTATTAATTAATTAATAACATTTAATATTATTTTTTTAATTTGATTAATCTGTTTTTATTATAACTGCTAACCTTCCCGTTCCTCAAAAAGTGCCCACAAATTGTGTAATTTAAAAGACTTTCTCAAATGTATTTCAGTAGACTTCCTAAACACATCTCTTATGGCATTTATATCAAAGTTTTCTGAAAACTCATTACCTGTTTTTATCATTTCATATCTCTTTTCTATTAAATAGTTTGTGTACTATTATTGATAATTAAAAAATTAATTTACTTATAAAATCATATAATATAAAATCTAGATCTACCCACACATACCCAGACCCACATGTGTTCATAGAGAGCACATGTAATAAGACATCTCTCAAACAATAGGATAACTTTGGATGTAATGTTGCGTTTGATTTGCCAATTCAAATATTTAGTCCAATTGTCTAATTGTTGTATATCTAAGGCATTGATGTGAAAGTATGGTCTCTTAATATTGTCTTCAAAGTACTTCATTTCTGTTATTTCTTTCAATGTTAGCTCAAACACACATTTTCTTTGATTAATAATCAATTGCCTAATGAATCGCATTTTAGTCTCATTTTCCTATAATTTGTTTAAAAATAATTTTATAAAATAAATCTATAAATAATTAGTTATTTTTTACAATCAAATCATCGAGTGATTAAAATTGTAGAAATGATAGTAATTTTGCTTTAATTATGTTTATATAATATATGAAAGTCTAACTTTTAAATGGTTTACATTAAATGACAATTCAGATGATCTCTTAAACTGTATAATATCTATACAATTTGTTTTACTATTGTTTATAAAATCATTGTATTCATTATCGTTCAAATGATATTCATTTTTGTTGATTATATCAATTGGATTGTTGTTCTCAACAAATGTCACAAAGTTTTCAAAATGTTGGCACAATTTTTTGATTGGTGTTTGAAGAAGTCGATCATAGATTAATGTGACTTCAGATGGATCTGATCTGAAAGTTTGAATCCAATGGAGATATAGTAACCACAAATCACTTGAATTATAATCACTTCCACATAAACGAAGGGCTCTTTCAAATAAAACAATAATATGATTGTCACTCTTATGGCAGCGAATGCACTCTTGAAGATAATGAATCCAAATATCAATACTATTGGGGAATACAGTGACGGCTTTTTCTAACATTTCAAAGGCTGTCCTTTCATTAGATAATTTGCGGCCAAATTCAGCAAACTTTATCCAATAGGCATAACAGTAGGGATAGTGAGACAGGAATTGATTGTATGCCCGACTAATTGTGTCCATATTATTCTGTATAAGTTATTATGTTATTTGTTATACAATAATATATCCAATAATTAATAAAATATTTTTAATGATTTAGTATTATAGTTATAAATGAATTTTTATATATAATTGGTTACCGTTTGTTCACAATATTGCAAAAGTAAAGTCCAACTCATAAAGTCTTGTGGATTTTGGTGAACCAATTGCCATAAATTGTCCATCAATTATGATACTAATATTAATAATATTTATATTCAATGATATAATAATAAAAGCAGTTTAATAATAATGATTATAAATTTTATAATAATAATAAAATTAATTTATATTTTGATGACACAATCAGCAAGTGGTTAGCAAACAGCTTAAGAGTTTAAATGTTTATAATAAAATCACTTTTGACTGAAATAACAATTATTTGAATATTAATTATAATTAAAAGTCACGAGTAATTACTTATTACCAAATTCAACACAAAACCATCATTTTATTAGATCTTATACTTTACTGTTATTAAACAAAATTGAATGTAAATTAAATTTGTGTTARGACTACAATCAATTTGTATAATTATAATACAAATTTAATTTATATCTAATTATCATTTATTACTTATAGATTAGATATTAAATAAAATTATTATCTAAATTACTGAATATTTTTGTAATTTTTGTGAGTAAATATTAAAAAATATTAATTATAAAGTTTAATTAGGTTTAAGGGCATTGATATCAAACTAATACAAATGTAAACTATGTTTACTTATTATTATTATTTTATGAAATACATGTTAGTGTACAATAATGCACCTGCATATACACACAAAATTCAATTAAACACTTTTATTAATTTATAATTGACTATTTCTATGAAGAACTTGTAATATTAATAATTATATTATAATTTCATAAAAGATATTATAAGAAATACACAAAAATGTTTATACATTAATTAAGAATCATAAGTTATGATTATATTTTAAATGCTTGAGATTTTGTTTATTTGTTAGCATAAAAAATCTTAATTAAAACCTTATTATGAGTTTTTTTCATTTTATAATAATGATTTTCAAATCAAAAATACTCACTTATTATCATTATTATATATATATATAATTTGATGATTTTTTAGACATTTTTTATTTATAGCTACTTAGTAGGACAGGTTTTAAAATTAAATAAAACATTATTTTATCAATATGACATATTTTTTTACCTTTATATCTAATTATTAATTAGTAATACGTAACAATTATTGTAAACTATTGATATACTTTTTAAACATATGCTTAACATTACAAACTCTGCCATTTATCTGTTGAATTGATTACTAATTAATTATATCATTAATTTCTTATAAAATTAATATAAAAATTATTTATATTTATATTTCTTAAAATTTATTAATACATTTTATACAATAAAATATTTTTTAATTAATAATTTTTTATAATCTTAATATAGCATAACTTACATCTCGCAATTTTATTATTTAAATATAATTTAATTATATAAAACTTAATTTAATAATAATTTTTAGTAATGTATTTTATTTATATTAATGACTATAAATGTTATAAAAAAAACCAGTAATAGTTTATTATAAAATTTATATATTTATTTTTTTATTGTATAATTATCAATATAATCTAATTGAATTTAACTAATTTTATGAATTATAAAGATTTATTTTATTAATATTTTGGCAATTTACCATGAAATATTATTACAAAATTTATTTAACTTGTTTATATATATAAAATATTTATATTATTTTTAGTAAATATACAATATATTAACAAAATATACATTGTATATTGATAATAAATTTTATATAAATTTATATACTGTATTACTTATATAAAAATTTATTTCTATTATTGACAGAAATATATTTATATTTAYTAAATTAAATATATTATTATATAATATAATAATATATTTAATTTAGTAAATATAAATATATTTCTGTCAATAATAGAAATAAATTTTAAGAGCAAATACTTAACAATAAATCAATTAATCAATTGTGATTTATATTTACTCATTTAATATTATTATTTAATAAATGTTTTGTTCAAATCCAAAAAAATAATAAATTTTTAAATAAGTATTTTTAGATTTGACTTTATGTTATACTTATATAATTATAGTTTGGTTTTCAATACAAACATTATTTTATTTTACAGTAGTTTTGTGACCATTCGGTAAATTTGTTGTCAAAAAATTGTTGAAAACAACTATTTGCTCATAAAATTAGTAAACAATTAATTGATGATTGGAAATGATTTTAATATGAAACAACATTAAACCAGAAACAGTTTTTATAAGTAATCTATAATTTTTTTATAAGTTATAGTTGTTATAAAATTGATAGACTTTTTTGAAAATCAAATTAATCGACAAAACGATTGCCGATTGAATGCTAAGAATTGTTCGTAAATAACAAATTCATAACAAAAATAGTGCCAAAATTGAGACCACTTTCTGCGCAAACTGTAGTCATAGAGACTGTTATTATGAAAGAGTATTGAGAGTTGAGAATGAAATGAGAGGAGAGGTTGGGATAGGGATCAGGAATTGTATGAATGTTTATGTGATGCGGGAGAGGGAAGGATAGAGAAGTCCACTATTATTGGGGAGAGAGAGAGATCACACACACATACTATAGTCACTACACACTGACTCTTGTGTTACGTAAGACACAAAATAGAGTACAACATCTCTCTCTTTCTTCCTCTCTCTCTCTCTCTCTCTCTCTCTCTCTCTCTCTCTCTCTCTCTCTCTCTCTCTCTCTCTGAGAATACGTGAGAAAGAAGATCGATATCTAGTATACTGTAGAGTTGTATAACATATATAGAGTTATATAGAAAATACGCTTTCATTGTAAGAGTGAATGGATTGTCAGCAAAAATAATAAAATGTCGTTATGTTTAGTATATATATTACTAAATTGTTTTCATTGACTATTCATTTAGTCAACATTTTTATAGGAATTAACAAATTAATTGATAAACAATGTCATCCATATGTTTTATATGTGAATTACCAATTTTATCGCATCAATCGTGGGATACCTGGACTCAGCACCAGGCGTTGGGATGTCAGCAGGAATTAGGAAACATTTACCACGAAGACTGTCTTAATTGTTGCGTTTGTGTGGCCAGAGTTAAACAGGTATTGAATCTCACTTTTCAATTATAACAATAATATTTTTTATTTTTAATAATAATAATCAAATATTTATCTTAAATATATTCCGTATTCCAACATATATTATTCAATTAATAATTATTATTTATTATATATTTCGATTTAATAAAATGTATTTATAATATAAATATATACAATTTTTTCAAGCATAAAATTCAATTTATAAATATAAGTATAAATATAAATGTATTTATTTATTTAAACCGGACTATACAAGCATCAGTAAAGTTGCTATTTATAAAATTATTAATAATTAATATCTTATCAAATGTATTATACCATAGGGTAATGGATCGGCCAAAAGACACGGAAATAAGATATACTGTGCCCTACATTACGGCGACATATGTGGTACCGCCGGTGGAGAGGACTTTATGGGCAAACTTAGAGATTTTAAGCGTCAAAGTCTAGGCTGTGCTGAGGCCCGAAGGAAAAGCAGCACAACCTTATCATTTCCAGTGCCCGTCCAGTCCTGTCCAGGTATTCACACTTGTTTTCAATGTATTTCATATACTAAATAACTATTTATTTTTCATTTAATTATTAGGTTCTCCATATTGTGCGGGATTTCCACACGCTGTCAAACCTACTGCCGGTTATTGGATTGAGTGTAAAGGCGGGGGTCAATCGGGTAATGATAATAAAGAAAATGAAAACGAAATGGAATTAGATTTGAAAACGAGGAAAGAAAGCATAACTTTAATGACCGGAGATATCAATCATTCATATAAACCACAGCCGCCGACACCCACTGTTGAGGTTGTACTCACTCGACCACGACTTGAACGACAAGACACAAGTAAATCAACAAATGATGACTACTTTAGTCAGGATTCATACAATTTCTTACAAATTGAAAGTCAAAGACCAAAAACTAAAGACGATATAGAATTATATAGAAAGCCATACACACCACACGTCACACCAAACATTACCATCACTATAGTACAGCCGACATCACCGCCTGCCAGTCCTCCAGTGCCATCACCACCACCACCATCCTCTCAGTCTAACACAAATACACAACAAACCAAAGAGAGTGATGATCCTTACGAACTAATCTCTTTTGAAGAAGAAATCTTTGAGAAACACTATTACGGACGCGAACACTGGAACTACTTTACTAATGACGAGGCATTAGGACCCGTCATCCTTAGCCTTAAACAAGAAAGTTCCAACAGTCGCGACCAGTTTAGGATATTGTTGAGAACCATATCATATTCACTCCATGGTTTAGTGCCCACATCGGCCATATGTGCCGATCGATATGACCGCGAGGCAGTGGTCAGAGCTTTAGGTAATGAGTCGGGTCTTAAACCGCCTCTAGCTTTGGGTCAGTTGCCATCAACGGCCGATGAGTTACTTAAGTTGGATCAGGTATTCATTAAATCAGAATTAAAAGTTGGAGTTATTTACATAAAAGCCAATCAAGTGAATAGTGAAGAGAGTATACTCAGCAACAAAACTGAATCACCGCTTTTCGCTGAGTTCTTGTCGATACTCGGAGATAGGATTAGATTAAAAGGATTCGACAAATATAAGGGAGGACTCGATACCGGTATGTCTGACAAACTCATATACAGTACTTCTCTATATTTTTCTCATTTAATAATTTCTATAAATTGATTGTCTTTTATATATAGTTCACGACCTGACGGGAACAGAATCGGTTTACACAGCATTCAAAAACATTGAGATCATGTTTCACGTGTCAACTATGTTACCACACGAAGAATCAGATCCGCAAAAACTTCAAAAGAAAAGACATATCGGCAATGATATTGTTTGTGTAGCGTTTCTCGAGGCAGACAGTGAGCCATTTTGGCCGGGTAGGCATTATTTAAATTTATATTATATTATATAATTTATGATTCATTTATTATAATTTTTTTTTAATTTTCAAAAGGTTGTGTAAAATCACATTTTTTACACACATTTATAGTGGTTCGGACCAGTCCTAAGCCCTTACAAACGGGAGAAATAAGAAAATACTCGGTATCTGTAGTCTGTAGGGATGAAGTGTCGGCTTTTAAGCCATACTTATGGCATGAATCTGAATTTGAAAAGGTTTGATTTGAAATTAATTTGAAATTATATTTCTATTAATTATTATGAAAACAGGGCTCACATTTCCGTGAGTGGTTGTTAACAAAGATTATTAACGGTGAGAGAGCCAGCTATTCGGCCCCGAAATTTGCACGAATGCAGGTTTGCTTACATTTATTTCAATTATTTTTTTGTTGTTATAAAACAAATAATAATAATAAATTTCACTATCAATAGGACCGAACTCGGAGTCAAATGCTTGAAGATATTGTAAATAATTTAGCCAATCATTTAGCAACGGGTCAGATACCGAAGCCATATAGACGGGGCAGTTGGCGACCAATAGGTCATATGAGACCATCGAGTCCTCTGTTAGATAGTGTTCGCGATCTGTTTGAAGGTTACGACCAAATAGCAAAAGATTTTAATAATGCCTTCTATGGTAACGCAAAGCTGTTATGTGATGTTGTATTCAATGTGATGGGATCTCCGGTCAACGGCGGACATGAAAACCAAGTCCGACGTATTTATGCCGTCAGAGCTATTTTGGCCATAAGAAGCCGAGTCTTCCTTGAAATGCTCTACGGTTTCGCACCGCCGCGCGGACAGACCAATCCTGAAGGACAAGCAATTACGCACATGGGATCAATTGCAACAAACAATAGTTCACAACAGACTACAAATAACTCAGAGAACAAAAAGCTTAAGAAAAGAGACAGTATTACAGAACAGGCCAAACATGCCATCAACCAAGTGTTGGTTCCGCCAAAGATTATTGCACCAAATGATAGGGACAAAGACAAGAAAAAAGATAAAGAAAATAGAAAAGCGTCTTCAGCATCAACTATGTCGACATCACCCGCACAACTAAAGACACCCACATATCTGACAGTTCCCGGTGCAAGTGGTGGAGGTGTCTTCAAAACATTCAAAACATTTATGTCTGGTTCATGGAGTGGTTGGGGTAGTAAAGGAAGGAACGAGAGTATGAAACGATGGCAAAGTGAGTCGTTTTATGCAAAGCTTGAAAGTACTGGAGTCGAAGTACCGGGTCTTTCGGTATGCGCTGATGTGGCAAAAATCGATAGGACTAAGTTAGCACAAAATGAGGTATTCAATAGTCATATCATTCAATTATACATTTATTACTTTAATTGTCGTTTTTGATAACAGTTCACAATAATTGAGTTCGACGGCGACACCTTTCAATTGCTCATTGAATACCTACACTCGGGGTCGTGTCCTATAACATGTGACACCGTTCCCGGTCTCATTTGTGCAGCTGAACACTTTGATCTACCCGACCTATTACAAGCGTGCTTTCATCACACTAAGACACACCTCAAGCTGAATGTCGTTCCTCGAATGTTAAACCAATTGGAAAACTATTATTGGAGATATACCAGTGCCAGCCAATTGGTCAACACAATACTCAATTATGTTGACCCGCGAGCTAACGCACTGTTCGCCCGTCAGGAGTACTTGCAATTAAGTGAATCAATGTTACAGACAATACTTACGCGACAAAACCTCAACTTAAGTGAGACAAAGAAGTTTCAGGTGATGTTTCAGTGGTCGCTACACAAAGTCAAGACAGATAGACCAGACATCCAACGCAATGATAAATTGCAAAATATGAAGATTAATGAATTGCAAGCTATTATGAACCGATTGACACGGGATCTCAAACTGCATAAAATACCGCCACAGGATCTCATTAAGGTATCACATGTTTATATATTTATTGTGTTATAATAATGATATAATTACATAAATCACAACATTTGTTATCTAAAAAACGAGTTCACAATCTATATACCTGTTTGTTGTTGTTGTTGTTGATCCATACAGATAGTACTGCCATCGAAGACAATCAGTCACGAGAGGATATTAGCGACACTTCTATATCAGGCGGACTCTGGTATATATCGCAACTCCGAATTCGGCAATTGATGTCTTTGTTGTCCATAAATATAAGTCTGTTTGTTATATATTGAACCGATAGAAAACTTTTTTTAAACAAAACCAATGAGAAAAAAAATAAAAAAATAGTTATGAGTCGCAAAACAAATTATATACATATTATAAATATTATATTAATTGTTATAAGACATCTATATTTTGCTTTAAAAAATTGAATGTTTAAATATTTTGTTAATTATTTGTATTAATATATATATATATATATATACAGTATATATAATTATTGATAAATATTGAGCCCATTTGTAGTCAATGACAATAAACCTTGTTATAAATCAGTCATTGATTGTTCTCAATGGCACCGTTTGCTTTGGGAAAGTCGTATCAATGGCTTGAATCACTTCTTACAAACCATTTTCTATAAACTTTCCAATAAAAAGTCATCCAAAACAATGTATGATACAAAAGCCTCATATCATATCACATCACAAATCAAATGAATCATTAAAATAAAATTTTTCAATGAAATTATAATTTGTTGTTTTTTAAAGAAATTACTGAATTTCTTAATAAATTAAAATATGTCTAATCTTAAGAAATAATTCTTACCTAAAAAAAATTATGGCAGAAATCTACCGTAATCTGAGAATAGACTGGATTTCCTGACGGATGTCTCCCAATAGCGTTGTGACGACAATAGCCACGCTTTCTCTGAAGAATGAGACGAATTAGGTTTTGTCGGTGCTTTCATCACTGTATTCAACAATTGATTTTCGTCGCCATTAATAATTGTCACGTAAACACTTCTTCCCAATAATGATTTAATCATTTGAATCGTATCTTTAGTTATATCTGACTGATTATCAGTAAAATAAATAATGATATCTGATTTCTGAGCGTTATCTCCGACCATCATTATAGCGGTGGCCATCAATTTGATTAAATGAATGTCTAAAAACCAATTCATTACTATTATAATGTAATCACACGTCGCAAATAAAAAGGAGAGAAGTTGTAATGATATCATATAAGAGTAGTTCTCAGGTTCTGAAATGTCGACACCAGTTGATGACAGTGGCGGACATTTCTGAAGATATTCATCTAAAACTGATGCACTAAGAAGTGGCTGACAGAAACGAGAAAAGAAACAATTAAAACAATACTTTTTTAAATTTAAGAGATAATTAATTACTTGTGAATCAAGAAGTAGAAGTCTTTCTTTAGTGATATGAAGTTTCACACCTTTAGTACGATGTCTGAGAGGTTTTTCGCTGTATTTGAAATTATGAACTCTGAAGACATCTTTACCGGCAATCAAATTCAATGTCGACGACTTGCCGACGCCATCCAAACCAACAGCCGATATAACTGAAAAACCTGACGCCGACTGTGTGTCGCTATAAAGCCAGTCGGCGGCCAAACTGTCGACAAACATAAGATTCTCGCTGTCTATTAGTGGTATCACTTGAGGAGATATTGTTAACAAAGACTTATTGATAGTATCGTCTGTCGACGAGTGACTGTTAAAAACGGTAACAGATTTTAGCGACGATTGATTAACCGGTGTATTATTAGTGCTTGTGTTGGCCGATGTGCTGGCGATGGTCACTGTCTGTTGTTGTTGTGATGAATGTAAAGAAGGAAAAATTTGAATGCTTTGTATCGGTGTTGTTGTGACCGACGATTGTGACGTTGAGTTCAGTTGGGATGTTATTGACGGTGTGATCGCCGACTTGTTGTTTGGGTTTTTGGCCAAAATGACAACCCGTGACTGTTGTGGCGGTGATTGCGATGTGTTGGCCGACCGTCGGATGTCATCATTCGTGTGATTTCGATCGACGTCCCGATGGCGGCGCCTGTGTGGCCGTCGCGACGGCTCAATCGTCAACTTGTGGTCCATTGACTAAACGTTAATCACTATATCCACGTGCAGTACGTGTGCCTCACGTGTGAAATGATTATACAATTAATATAATAATCGATTGATTTATTCAAAGTCTTCACACAAACTATACATTCATAACAACAATGACTCAAATGTTTCACAGATTTATGTTTAACACGTGAATATATATTATAACATTTGGTACTTTATTATACAATCATTTTCAATAGATTACAAATATAATATTGAAATATGAAAAGGACTTAATGTTATTCATTTGTTTAGTTGACGTTTCATTAAATTTGTTGTCATTTCAATTGATTTCAGTTTTTCGGTAATTATTTCAAATTAATGCAAAAAATACTGTGAATACCGAGTCATACATAACAAAAGTGGTCAGAACTTGATAGAYAAAATCATGTCGTACGGGATTAACGATTTTGACCAGAGCCACACACCCGGCGGTGGTACCACTGATCCATTTTACTCGACATCGACAGCCAGTGTTGGCTACGAGTTCGGCCAATTCGACTACACTGACCAAGAATACAATACGAGTCAATCAGGTGGCCAACAACCCAATATAATGACACCCCAAATGTTTACACCCCCTCAAGTGGGCTCATACGACACGGACCCGTTCTCGGGAATGCCTGGCCAACGATCGACTGATCCATACGCTGATGAGCCGCCACTGCTTGAAGAGTTGGGCATAAATTTTGACCAAATTGTGCAGAAGACATACGCTGTAATGAATCCCTTCCGCAAACCCGACCCCACAATACTTCAGGATTCAGATCTGGCCGGACCTCTAGTTCTCTGTCTGGCATTCGGTTCATTTTTGTTAGTTTCGGGAAAAGTACACTTCGGCTACATCTATGGCTTCGGTGTATTGGGATGTCTGGCTATATATATGTTATTGAATTTGATGTCATCAGACCTATCACTGTCTATTGCGTGTACGGTATCAGTATTGGGCTATTGTTTGCTACCAATGGTAGTGCTGTCGGGACTATCTATTATAATCAGTTTGAAGGCATTGATCGGTACGATATCTGTGGTGTTGGCCATCTCTTGGTGCTCATGGAGTGCATCCAAGCTGTTTGTGATAGCCCTAAACCTGCACAACCAACAGGCCCTCATTGCCTATCCCTGTGCTCTACTTTACGGTGTTTTTGCACTTTTGACTGTTTTTTAAGTAAAATGCGGATAACATAACATCTGACACAAAGATAAAAAAAATATATTTTCATTGTTTTCTAATATATACCAGTAGTCAGTCATCAATATAAACATTAATTGATTGATAGACATAATCTTAATTATAAAATTAAGTTTTAATAAACTAAATAACAAATTAATAGTTATCATATGATTTATTTATTTTTATTTTAATAACGTTGTATCAAAACACTTACGTTAAAGTATAGAAACAGTTGTAATAAATTATTTAGTATTATATTAATAATTGCTTATTTGCATCTATTTTAAAATTTGATCATTTTTAATTATAATTAAATTTATTAGTAGTAATTTTATTTTATTTTTGTACAATGAAATTGTTATATATATAACTTAATTAGTTGTGATTGGTCTGCCATTCCTCCCGAAAGATCATGACTTAAGCTGTTTTTCTGTCAATTGGATCTTATCTCTGACTTGTCGTAAGTCGATAATTAACTTTGATTTCAATTTAGTAAACTCTAAGAACTCATTAAAATTATCGCAATCTTTAAAATATTTTCTAATAATCTTCTCCTCAATGGTTTGACTTCTGTGATCAATACTAACTCTTAGTTGAAGAGCTTCTTCTAACTGAACTAATAGTTTCTGTTGTTTGGACACCAATGCTGACAACTGATCGCATAAATTACTATTAGATAATAAGGCGTTTTGTTTATCGCCTCCAATTAGTTGTAAATCATTTGGTTTTTGTGTTTTCAATGATGTCATCTCAAAATGTTTATCATTTGATTGGCATTCAATTGGTGAACCTCTTTGTTGGTGACTTTTTTCGTTAATTTGTGTATTGATTAGCTGAAGGCGGGCACTGATAGACAGTAAAAGTAGTGTCACTTTCTCTATCTCATCGAAATGCAAATTGATTTTCTCTGATTCTTGAGCTGTCAGACCCAATGACGACAATTTGTTTTTCACAATTTCGCCTAATTTGTCGTTAGATTTGACGTTATCCACTAATACCCTTTCCTCATACCGAAGAGCTTCTAATTGATATGAAAACTAATTCAATGAAAAAAAAAACAATAATTATAGTCATAAAAAAACATTAAATTAGTTGTTCACAGATTGTATTGTTACTGTCATTGAGTTGACATTAAAGGATCACTATTACTGTCAACTAATCTATTAGGACCTGTAGATCACATATAGGAGTTGTATATCACAACACTGTGTAATTCAATACTTAAGTCATTGGAGCGCAAACTTTGCTATTAAGCATTCATTTGCACCAAATATTTGCTTTAATTCATAATTTAATATTAAATTATATTTAAAAAATAATGCAAACATACCTGACTGTTATCAGATGGTAAAGTAGGTGAACATGTAGTCATCGATATATCAGTATTATCGTTATTATTAATATTTTCATCATTATTTTCATCATTATTTTCATTATTGTTATTAGTTTTATTATTATTATTATTATTATTATTATTATTATTATTAGTAGTAGTAGTAGTAGTATTAGTAGTAGTATTAGTAGTAGTATTAGTAGTAGTATTAGTAGTAGTAGTAGTAGTAGTAGTATTAGTGATATTGGTATTATTAACAGATGTATTAGTTTTATTATTTGCATTATTAGTATTTTCATGTTTTTCTTTTTGTTTCTGTTTTAAATAAAACTGATAAACGGCTCGCTTTTGTATAGCTTTGATCTCTGGATCAGAAGTGCGAGATTTAGCTGTTTCGATGGTACGGGAAGAGGAAACCATTTTAGGTGTGGCCAGAGTTAATGAACGAACAACACTACTGGTACTTGTATTAACACTATTACCGCTGCAGCCATTAGTTATGTCTTTATCATTATTATGAAATTCACTTAAATTGTGTAGTTTTGGTGGCGGTGGAGGCGGAACATCACTCTTTTCAAAGTTATAATCATTATTTGACGACAAACTAGATTTGTCATATAAAATACTGGCCGACTCTCTCTTTGGTTGAACAACTTTAGAGCTCTTAGCTATTTGTGATGAACTGCCAGTCGATGCAATACTATTGCGACTATTATTATAAGAAGCTGCCGTCGTGTTGGTGGCGGTTGTGCTCAATGATGATAGTGATGGTGAGTGTGTTATCACCGATGAAGATGCAGTAAAATAGTCTGATGTGGTTACCAGCGATGTAACTCCAGAAGTAACCGATTGATCACAAGACCAAGACTCGTGCATTTGAGATGATTTGTCATTAAACTCAGTTTCAGGAAGCAATGGATAGGTTTGACTGAATTGTTTTAAATCGGATCCGTCATCATATTTTGACCTGAGATTAATGAGACTCTTAGAGCACTGGCCGATATGACTGACCCGTTTCTCTGGAAAACTTCTTTTATAATACTTATTATTCTTGTAATAATGTCCGTCATCGCTGGTGTTCTTGTTTAACGAGTCATTCATTAACTTGCTTTGAGTTTCACTTTCTTTTAATTCATTACTAAATTTGCGGTTTGAGGCCAAACTAGAGTCGCGAACGGGAGGAGTAGGAGGAGGTGACTCATCTTCCGGTGCGTATAAACCAATTAGGTTTCGGTCGCGAGGTTTCCTACACTCAGAAATTGTTTCGGTGTTCTTCGAATAGATTCGTTCGCTATATTTTGAGACAATCGAGTGTTCGATAAAACTCGGACCACAAGATTTGCGATTAGACTTAACAACCGGTGAAAAATCAAAACCAGATTTTGAAGCTAATAGACTATAAACTGAAGATGGCGTCGGATTGTTTCTGTTATGAGATCTTTTTTTCACTATATTTTCATCGGAATCTCTGTCGAGATTACCTGGAACTGACTTTGCTGGTAACACAGGCATACCAGTGCCAACAGGATTATCAGGATAGGGATGTCCAGCACCAGACAAACTAGAGCGCCGATTAGCACTGACATGGATTTGAAGATTAGATGTGGATTTGGCAGTTGACCACTGATCACAATATTGATATGCACTACAATAACAATAGAAATTTATTTTAATCAAAAAATTATCAATTATTTAAACAACAAACTGCACCAAACCTTTTGCTAGAAAGGGCAGCTGTTCTGGGACTTAAATTTCCGCCGTTTGTTGAGACCGAAGATGCATTTGAATCGTTTCGTGAATGAAAATAATTAGCGGCACCGACGGCACCCCAATTGGACATCGAGGCGGCCGAAGCCGACTCATAGCCGCTATCTTTTGTGAGCTTTCTATTATTGTCATTCAAGACATTATTAGTGTATAAATTTGAATTTCGGTGATGTCTTGGTTGGACACTAGTGCGCGATAAAATCGGATCTCTGATATTTTCATAAATCCTATCAATATCAATTTCATCTGTTTCAATGGGTCCCACCCATGACAAGTGTTGTACTGATGAATGTCTTCGTGTCAAATCAGTGTCTGTTTGATAATATTTATGTTTATAATAATATTGTCTCTGACTTTGCATCTGTTGGTTATAAAATGAAAATTCTTTGTCCGCTTTAAGCCATTCGGGTGAGTCTTGTTGTGAGACGCCTTTATGATCGGTAGTGACGGCATTGGTGTTAGTACTGGCAGTAATGGTATGACTTTCATCCCTATCCCGTTGCTCTTCATTCCTAAGTCGACCCAATTTATTATTTTCTGACTCATATGTTGTGCTAACAGTGTTGGGACTGTAAGTGTTGCCTGAATTGCATGTATTGGAAGTCAAACTTGATTTCAGTTGCCTTCGCGTACAGCTATTACCGCTTGAATCTAAAACATTAATAACTTATAATTAATAACAAAAAAAATTAATACAAATATCTATAAAGTCATAAAATAATAATAGAGATAACACTTGCAGTCAATTCAATTTGAAAATCAACTGAACCGTAAAAATGGTTTTTAAAAAAATAATACCAGTAAAGAAAAAAATCAATTAATTTTGTTTTGTTTAACCTAAACATTTGTAATTTATTAGATGATAATGTCATTGCAGTGACAAATAGCACTCATTTTTAACACATCAACAACAATAAAAAAGATTGTTTTAGTCGTTTAACATAATTTTATCTTTAATTTAGTTTAAAAATGTAATATTTAAAAAAATAAATAAAATAAATTATTTTCGCAATTAAAAAAAATATATAAAATAAAAACAAAAAGATTATACAAACCAAAGTTAGCGCTCGTAAAGCCGTAAATCTCGTCGTCATCACAGTTGGTACTGACAACAGAAGTACCACCACTTGTGATCACTGATGGAGTAGTGATCGTAGAAATCGGTGGCAAATCCTTGTAGTCTTTGTTAGTCGTCTTGCTTTTAGCTATATTTGACTGATCGACAGCTGCGCTACTTATTAGTCCCTTTCCAGACGTAGGCCTGTAATTAGAGTCAATATATTATTAATAGAAATAATCCAAACTATTAGTTGAATATATTAAAACAGTTTTGGGAAAAGGGAGGAAAAATTGAAATATAATTGAAATTAAGCCTTCAATAGCCCAGTCAGGTTGTGGTGTGTGTGTGTGTGTGTTAAGTACAGTATTACAATATGCAGTATTAAATTGATAATTTTATCATTTTCAATGGTTACTCTGAACTACTTTCTCAATGTCCTAAATATGACAGTATTATACATATTGTGGGGAAAACATTAAATATTGTATCTATTGTTGCAATGAGAGCTCTCACATCAAACATTAACAACACTATTAAAACATAATATTTGAAACAAAAATGAATAAAATTATCACCAGATTTATATATACAATACTTTTTATACATAAGTTAAAAACAAAAAATATAAAGTTTAGACCAAATGATAAAATAATATGTAATGCTATCATCATTTACGATGAGATAATACTGTATAGAAAAGCATGAAAATAGGCATCTCATCTCATAAGTGGAGTAATTTGTAAAATAATAGCTAATATTAAGCCTTTTACTAATATATCTATTTAATTGTATGCCATTATATATACAATAACATAATCATAACATTATATTGTTTACTATATACTTAATAATGTAATTCATAATCATTTACTTACATAATGGTATTAAAATCGACATTTGTTTAACATTTAAATGATAACATAAAACACATAAAATACAAACGCTATGAGAAATATATGTATAACTCGAGTAAAACAACTATTTTCAAGTGAAATATTATTGAATGTTTTCGAGTGGTTTCAGATTATAATATCTGTTTCAATCAAAAAACTATTTTTTTGCTGATATAATGTATACAACTATAGTATAATACAAGTCATCTTTATCTATATAAATATAATATATCAAACTGTTTTTTGCAATTATTAATATCCGAGTTAATACTGTATATTAATAAATACCTACAACTTTAACATCAATTATTTATGTCAGCCCTTTTCAAATATTTTCTAAATTATTAAATTTATTATATATATTATATAAAAATAATCAGTAGTTTATATGAGCACCCGATGGTTTGGTGACTCAGACTGCAGGCCGACTAACATATTCGTTATTTTATGGGTTTGTTATGTAAAAAGCTGTCTATGAAAGAGTAGTGAATATGTTGTTGATATGTATAATGAAAATTGCTTTATAATGACAAACACATAATTTTTTTTCATTGGAATGCAATCATAAACTTCAATATGAAAATACATATAAATATACTTAATATTGCTATTTGTGTACCAAATGTGTACATTACTTGCAATTTATTTATATGATATGTAACTTATAAGGGAGGTTAACATTGAAAGTATATGTTTATGGCTTTAGTGTAAATTTATATATAAATATTTGAATATATTTATAAATATGACTAATGAATGCCTTATCTATTGAGACGTTGCCCACAAAATCATAGCAACCCATTGACTCTTGAAATGATATTGAATTGCATTAAACTAACATTAAATAGCACTTTATAGATAACATTAGATAACATTTTCCATATCAATGATATCATAGTATAACATGTATTTTTGACAACACATACAATCATTTAGTTATGATTACAGTGAGAGTAATAGCTGTGCTCTTTGGACACAACCATTTGAATGCCATTCAGAGGTATATTTGATATTAACATTAAGTTAAATGAGAAAAGTTTGAACAATACATACAAAACACAAGGAAAGTGTGTTATAAAACAAATCATAAATTTATATATATTTTTCGTTTTTAAGACATTTTTGTTGTCTAAGAAAATCTATGAATTAATAATCGCTTATTTGGTAAAAGGTATTAATGTTAGCAAAACAAAGACGAAGAGCACATATGATATCATATTATATGACATGACATGACATGATTGGGTCGGATGACAGTCCATTAAAGCCTTACCTAATCTTATGCTTTTTGTTCTGAGCCTTTCCGAGTGACCGCCGAAAACTGGTCACTCTATCCAATAAAGTCTTGTCGGTATTGGACGACCCGTTTGTCGTTTGACTGCTGGCACTGTCCAACTGAAGCTCTTTACCAGTACTGTCATTGTCGTCATCAGGTTTGACAGTATTGTTGGTGCCGTTGACAGCATTGTTATTGTTTGACTGAACACCCGATGACTTACTAGTAAATTGAAACCACGATCTGATACTTCGGGACTCATTGGTTACACTCATGGCATGTGTTAACAATGACAACAACTTCAACAACAATAATGATAACAATATTCACACCATTATCTGATTGTCGACGACATCGGATGTGACAACCATTTAGTTATTTATTTGAGACAAAAACAGACGTTTATCGAGATATCCGATGATTTGATGAGATGTTTGTATTAAATATCATATCATATAATAATAACATAAAACACAACAATATATGGCACTAATGTTAACGTATTATTCAATACAATATCGCTTGTTATGTGAGATAACTATTATTAATGTTATTATTATATAATAAAAGCAATGCTTTTAAAACATTCAAATCACATACAATTACATTACACTGACATTCAATCCTATATTATAATCACTTTTTGTATTATTATTATTAGTGTTTGAATTGTAGACAAATATTGTTATAATAAATAAAAGCTTTTCATACAAAATACTCAATTACTTTGTCTTATTTGTGGTGATTATAATGACAACAAATTGATAGCACAACTAATTATATAATGATTATTATGAAAACATAACACAAAAACACCAGAAAAGTAGTCAATTAGTTGTTTGTTGTTTTAAGAGTCGATAATAATGTAGTCGTGTTTAGCAATAATAATAATAATAATATACAGTATATATATATATATATATATCATATATACATATAAAGTATGGTAAAAGTGAATCACATATTAGGTTAGCTTTAGTGTCACATAAGTTGAACAGACAATGTGTTTGAAGAAAATCATAGGTATTGTCACACACAAAAAGTTTTCAATAATAATAATAATAATACATTAATGTTTGGACCCAACAGAGCCAGTGATATGACATTCCTTAGTCAGTGCTTTAGCCACCAAAATGCCAACAGCTTTCATAGTCTCTCTCTTTATCCAACAAATGCCTGAATCTTTGAACGAGTATTTCTTCTCTCTCTTAACATACGAAAGGCAAACAAGAATTTCAAGTTTTTGGTGCAAACTTTTTAATTGTATATAAAGGAAACCCAAACGCAACCCAACAGTGCCTGTGCTTCTCCCCCGTCCCCACACATGTACTCTACACACACACACATACGGCTCAAACCAATGCCCGTCCTTTACCTAACTGTATGTTAAGGAACGCTAACTTAAAAGTATATTTCAATGCATTTGATTACAAGTTCTCTCATCGCTTCCAACAAGAGTTATGCATTTGCTATACCTTATGGAGACTTCCATTACTTCTAACTTTATATCAGATCACAAGTATTTATATCATATCTAATGTACATTTGTTGAGTATTTTTTATACATTTAATTTATTCCGTATTATTATATACTATATATTTATTAAAATAAATTTATATTCAACTTTTTTTTATTCAACTATATAATATCATATATATATATATATAGTTATTTTACAATTTTAATATATCGCAGCACTTAATAAAAAATATAATGCAAAGTATAACTTATTAAAAAATGTTATTTATTGAATTTGATGATTAAATTGAAATTAATATACAATTAAATTTACTATTTAAAATTAAATTGTTAGATGTTTTTATTATTGGTTATTTTATAATAATAAAATTTTCTATTCTCATCTATAAAATTAATTTTTAAAATTTTGTTTCTCCAAACTTGATAAAATCATATAAGAAAAAATTTGAAGTTTTTTAATACTCAAAAGTTGTTTGAATAAAAAATATTTTTATTTAACAATTTTGAAGGATTAAAGAAATATTTTTAAAAACAAAATTAGACAAAAGTTTGAGATAAAATTTAAAAATTATGTGATATGAATCAAAGTGTAACAATTATTAATTAATTGTATGGTATAGTTATGGTATAGTTAGTATAGTTTAACACTTTGGCTGTATTCCACTTAATAATTTTGTTATACATAAAAATAATGGACACAATAGATATCTTGTAAACCAATTTAGCACCAAACAGACCACTGCCCCAAAAACTTGCATTTTTTATAAAATGCAAAATATCTGATGTATTAATAAAAATATTTTTAACAAAAATAGATTTTTTTATTAAAACATACATTGATTTAAAAGATTGTAAAATATAATTATTAGTCGACAAAAATTAGGGCATAATTAATATAAAATTTTATAATATCTAAAAAAGTTTGAATTATTTTCTATGTTGAATAACATAACTGCAAATAATTGTAGACAATGTTATAATATAATCCGGAACTGAAATCATTTACAGAAACCAAACCGTTTTGTAATTAAAAACCAAACCAAAAATCTTATATATATTTTATATATCAGGGAAGGTAAAGGGGGTTAAGCCATCTTACCCCCTGAGATTGAGATTTTTTCCATAATTCTAATTTATAATTAATTAATAATTATTTCTGACAATTTTTTAATTTTTATTAGTCATTTAACTATTTGTATTTTATAAAACGTTATAATAAATACAATACAATATCATTAATATTTTTTATTAATAACACTTATAGTATATTTATCACTTTATCACTTATATACTCACTAAAAATTCATTAATATTAATAATAGTATCACAGTAATCAATTAATATTTATCATAAATATTTTTTTTATTAATTGTTATAATTAAAAAGTTGTATATATATATTTAAATATAGTTTATATATATTTTTATGCAAATCTGTATTTTTTAAGCTTTAGACTAAATAATTCTGTGGGAATTTACTCAAATTTTGTAAAAATTGTCGTTTAAAAATGCAATAAAAAATGTTTACCCCCTATACCCCAAGCTTTTTTCGAAATTTTTGCCATTTTACCGCACCCTATACCCCCTGAGATAGAAAACCTTTAGCAACTCTGGTATATATATATATATATATATATATATATATAGTATAATACTTTTACTTTCAAAATCAAATATTTATTTAACATTTTCTTAAAAATTACATTATAATTACAATTTTAACAACTGTTTAAATAATTATTAATGTATTAATATATGTCAAAATTTTTCATTATATTTGTTATAAATTCATAACTGGAAAACTATTTTTTATTTAATTTATATGGATTAATGTATAAATTGTTACATTAGCTATATTAAATTTAATGGGCTAATGTTTTTATTGGAAATATTACAAAATCATATTGTAATTAAACATTATATAAAATAATTAATTAATTAATATATTAAAATAAAATAAAAATTAACATGCTATATATTCTAATTTACATTATTTAAATGTAACTGTAATTTATATTATAGATTACAAAATCAATTTTTATTAGTTATTCGTCCATTTCTATGATAACATAATTTTTTAATCAACATAATATCAAGTAATAAAACTGTTTATTCAATTAATTTTGACAAACAATTTTAATGTGAATAATCTTATGAAGTTTCATCAATAATAATTTGGTCACAAAATTGGTAAAATTAACAACAAAAAAACCATGATATTATTAACTTATTTTATTTGCAATTTTATTGTTGTTGTTTTGTTGTACTTATTAATGATAATGCATTATATATATAATTTTTATGTATTTTTATATTATTTATAAATTATATACAATAAAAGTGAATGGCGGCCGAAGATTGCATCTCAATTTGACTCATTTTTGTCTAATAAAAAACAAAATTAATATTAATTAAAGTTATTATTTAATGAAGTGTTATAAATAGATTTATTAATAACATTATAATTAAAATCTATAGAGAAATTAATAATAACAAATCTAAATATGTAAAAATAGGTAATTATAAGTGGATAAAATTATGCTATTTTTTAATAATAAGCTACAATAATTTGAAATTGATTTTATTTTTGTTTAGTTATATAAACCAATGATTATATCCATACCTGCATCCTCTGCAGCCATCGGATTAATGTACTACAAGTCATGGCCGCGTCATCCCTGGTCTGTGGCGGACACTGCCAATTGATTACAGATTGAAGTCGCACCTGAGTATTGCCCGATAATTGGCCTTTTGGTGAAAATAATTTAACAGTTAATCTCGCAGTTGATTATAGTTTTAGAAAAAGTTAATAATATGTAAGTATTTTATTAGTTCATTGACTAAAATTGTTTATTACATTTTTTGTTGTTTTTATGTGTTTTCTTTTCATTATATACTAAATAACTTATTATTTAATATTAATAGATATAAAACATAAATATATATATATATATATATGTTTGTTTTATAATTTATTAAAATTAGTTGTGTTTTAATGCCAACCTTTATAGCTATTGAAAACAGGCGTCCAAAGTGGAAGTAACTGTAAAAAAATTTATTGAATTTTTATTATATATTTTTTTAATGTTAAATATTATATATGATTATTCAAGTTTTCTAACTTTAACAGCGAATAACAATATTTTCTCATATCTATCATATAAATCAATAGATTATTTGCTACAAAAAAATCATTTGATAAAAACTAAATAATTTTATGGTGTTTTGTGTCAAACAAGATAACAATAAAAAAATATTTATAAAAATAACTAATATTGTAATAATTGCTAAAATAATAGTTCAAACAACAAATAAAAAAATTGATTTCTATCAAAATCATGAAATAAAAATATTTTAATAAATAGATTTGAAAACTATTCTTAAATAAAGTAAAAGAGAATTTTTTTGGTGTTTATGTTTAAACCTATTTTTATGGCTTATGTTTAAGTAATATAATTGTTATTTAAAAATATAAGTAGTGGTCAGTTATCTTACTCTTGATAACATCGTTGAGTTGCACTCCATCAGTGTTTCCATTAAATTCAAAAAATGCAAACTGACTGTCTCTGCCAACTATGTATACAACCATACAGTGCAGCACAGGTAGGTATCGTATTAGTTATTCAATAATGAGATATGTTATTGTGGAAAATTGAAAAAAGAGAGATATAACAATTTATCATTAGTAAGATTTAAGTAAAAAAATATTATTTTATATTATTATTATATAGTAATATGATTGACAGTATATGTTAAATGGTTTGTTAATGAATGCACCGGTTTTTATGGTATGGCATACAATGATAGTCAAATATATTAGCTATTTATAGGTATACACAAAAATACATATGTTTAAAGGGTGAGGGTTTAAAAGCAATACATAACAAATAATAATAATAACAATAATTATGATATAGTTGTCTAAGCTATGGCTAAAACTAAGTGACACACACTGTGAGGAAAGCCGCTGACCTGATAGAGTCCCTCCTTTAGGATAACAACACATTAGAGTTTGTATTTTTGAGACGATAGGAGCGTTAGTAGAGAAGAAATGTAAGCACAAAATAGAGGCAAATAAAACATATATTAATATTATGTTAAAGCAAAGGATGAAAATTGTTTTTTTGTTGATAAATGGATAAAAAATAAATTATTATATTTTATCATTAAATTGTTTTTAAACAATGCATAAATTATTCAATGCTTCTATAATATATTTTTATTGATTTTTTTTAGAAAAACAATGAATGTAATAATAAGTATTACCACTTTTGAATGACAGATGAGTTGTAAAATGCCCGGGGTGATTTTGGCCCAGAAATCAGACAGTGTGAGTGTGCACTGATGGTACTGATCGCTTCCGGGAGGGTTCTGACCAGAGATGTTCTCGCAATACATTGTCCACAATTGGCATAATATGAACGCGTGAAACAAGGATGACATATGTAATACTGATGTCTTGGATTGTTCAGCAAAACCGGCTAAAATCACCTGAATATGCTCTGCAATGTGCGTGTTTGCCTCCAATGGTATGGGTTGGCACAGGAATGTGGCGTTATTATGGAGTAGTGCCGAGTGCTGTAATGATCCTAACAATAGCCATGAAAGTGACCGAATATGTGCCACACAATCGATAAACTCTTTGGGACTGTTGGTTTCCATTCAATAGCGTATAAATAAAAAAAACATAACAATACATAACAATAGTGTTATTTAAAGCAATACTTTTTTTGCACATCTCATTAGTTACACATTCACTGTGTGTTAACTATTTTTAGGACAAACAAAACGGAAATTTGTGTCCAACTAACTAAATGTTTGCTCAGAAAAAAAGTGATGATAATGTTTAAAGAAAACAATGAAAATAAAAAATCATTCAACATTATTATCAAAGTCACGCTTTTCACTAAATAATATTTTTATATATAAAAATTAATTTTTGTTTCCAAAAATACTGCTATATTTCATAACTTTTTATGAATTGTATTGTGTTTTTATGGCCACTGTTTCTTTCATATCCTTAAACATTCGTGTAATTAATATTTTGAATTGAAAATAAATGAAAATCTTCCCAGTATAAATATTAAAATACTGTAAATAATAAAAAACTTTATTTTTCTATTCAAAAAAATATTGTTAAAACTAACTGTTATTTTATGAATATGTGAGATATAGCTGATAATAGAAAAACAAAAAAACAACTATAAAATTGCTAAAAATAATATCTAAAAATAAAAGTTAATATCCATAAAAAAAACTGGAAAACAATATTATGGCTAAAATTGGCTCACAATATGTATTACTGTATATGTATAGAGAAAATTAATGATTAAGACAATGGTATGATGTGATGACAGGTAATGACTAAACAACAAACAACAACAAAATACAGACCCCTGTTGTAGTGATGGCAGACTGTATAGCCAGGGAAGGTATTTGGTTATTGCCCGGTGATCACTGCCATTATTTTTTGTCATTTCAAGCGCTAAATACTGTGAAATTCCTGCTTTCAAATGTCCTCCCAGTGTCTCTTCATTGAGGTGTATAGAAGTTCCCAAAATGTTACTCTTGAAAAGTAAATGATTGCAAAAAAAGTGTTTTTAGATTAAATATTCTCATAGGAAAAGAAAAGCATAGAAAAGCTATTAAACATAAATACAGAGTACGGTCTCTATCAATGTGTACATAATATTAGGCTACTGTTTAACATTATATGGACACTCATTGCAACACTGATGGTGGCCCTCAATCAGTGCCATACAGTGTATGTATGAGCCCTTGTATGTTTGTGTGAGGTAGTGGCGATTATATGACCTTATCTATGCCCCTTAAATAACATACCTTAACTCTGGATATTGTATGTACATCAGTGACAAACTCTAGTAGATCCATAACATTGGGTCGCATGCATTCAAAGGCATTTGTATTGAAGCTCTCGATTTCTGGTGTGCTATTCATCCGTAGATTCTCCACAATGACAGATGGTGTTAGAGTGCCCGACCCATCCTGTAGTAGGAACTGAACTAATATCATAAGATTCTCGTCGGGAATCATTGAGCGAAACTTGACCGCCTGGACCAACTCGCACACCACTGTCCTGGTCAGCAAAAAGCGATCCCTTTCACGGGGAAAGTTACGACAACAGAGACTACTTAATTCAAGTAATTGTTCGTAAAGAAGAGGTGATTGTTGTATGATATGAGACAGCACTTTGGAAAATGGATCTAAAATTGTTTTGTAGGCATTAATTATCGGCAACTTTATAGTTGATAACATAATTCTCATAATCGGTGTTAAATTAAGAACTCCCGATTCCGGCAATAAAAACAATAATTTTCTCAAAAACATCTCTAATTGTGGCAGAAATAAAGCCCAGGGCTGTTGGGATGGCGTTTCCAATGACATACACTCAAGATATGTGGCGACATTACCCAACATATGCATCATCTCTGATATTTGCGGCAAATGTTTTCTTTCATTCAGATTCTTCAGATGATTATATCATTGTATATGTAATGAAAATAATAATAATAAAGTGAATATAAATTTTCAGGTTTTTTATAAATATATTTCATATTATATATATATATATATATAKACTGGCCTAAACTAAAGAGTGCCTTGTATTAAATTGAATTTTTGTCATAATAAAGTTAATAAAAAACTATTTACAAATGGACCATAAAATTTCATAAAATTTGAGTTTCATTATATAAAATGGGTTTAACATTTATATAATTTATAGGAAAAATTCAAATTTAACTAAATTTATGCGACAAAAATAATTTTAAATCAAATTAAATATACAAATAAACTAAAAAAAAAACGTTAGCTTGAAATACAGGAGTTGCAATACTTGATTAAAAATTTTAGTAAATTTAATCAATATATGTATAGCTTTTAAATCATTTTTATATAAAAAATAGATATTCATTTACATTGAGGGGTTTCTCATCTCATTTTTCCACTCCTTTCAAAAAAATTTTATTAAAATACTTTTTGAAATAAAGTTACTTATACTTTGTATATACAGTAATTGTATATAAGATAAGAAGTTTCTCAATAAGCTAACTATATTAAGTTAAATAATATAAAAATACAGTACAGCAGTCAAAACTATAATCAAATGTAATAATACTTATATAAATGTATACAAGGCTTACCTGAAAGAGCTCAACGAGAGGRGAGACCTGATTGAGATCAACGAAGTCGGAGAGCGCTAATGCAATGCTCTTAAAAAATGCTGGATCTGGTCATTGAGTTTTGATTGATTGGCAAACGTGTGAAAGTTTATAAAAAAAATAAAATACAAGAAAAAAGATAAATAAAAAGCAATACATTATAAAATTTTTCTATATTATAGATTTGTATTTATTGGCAATGATTAAAAAATGAACACTTAAATTAACACTTACTGGCAAACTGTGCGTAAAACAATTGTTTAAATATACCATTGGGTGCCAACTGATGTAATGTGCAGCGTATGAACTGTCGGGCTATGGATGCAGTACTTCCGGGCAAATGGATGTTACTATTGTTTCATATATATAAATATATATTGTGCAAAATATAAAAGCATTAGATATACAATAATTATTAATTTCATATGATATATAATCTATTAAGCGATTGTCTAAAATCCCTAATCTAACAAAAATATAATTCAAACCTAAAAAGCATGCATTCAAAAAGCGATTCACATATAAATTATAAATAATGCAAACTATTTCATGAATGTGAGGAATTTTTCACTCGTTTTTCATTTATGTTATCTTTTTTATAACTCATCACAAAAATCTCTGTATGTATTATAATACTGAGTATATGTAGTAAAGTATAACTTATATACCTGTATATAACTTATATACCTGTATATATATATATACTATACATTATACTGTATACACTATCTGTAAAAGTAATGTAAAGTAATATTATAGGATATTTTTYTGCTGTTGTGTTAGCAATCTTTGTGTTTTTTCTAATAAAAATAAAAAAGATATTTTTAAACTTATATATAAATAATAATATAGCCTATCTATTATATTTTAAAACATTTTTTTGTTGTCGAAATTTTTATGTGCACTTTTTTTAGTTTGAAGTAATATATTTTTATTGTGTATTTAATGTAATAAAAAATATATTAATTTAAAAAATACTAAAATAACAAAAATATGTCCATTGACTTAGTATTTTAAAAGATAGTTATTTTTAAACCAAATTATTATTAAAGTTATTATCAAATAGTATTTAAAAAACCTTTCATTTTGCCAATGATAAGATGTAAGGCCAGCATATTTTGAGACTAATTTTAATACTTCCGGAAGTATAGGCGCCGCCAAACTGGGCTCTCGATGAACATAAGTACCCAAAATAATAATACATAAACCAATCTCTTCTTCATTGAATTGTTCCAACACATGTCCACAACGAGTACATCGTTCGTAAACGATGTCTTCAGGCGAGAAAGTGGTGTTTGTATTGGATGGCAAAGTTGTGGTGCGCTTTGTATTAGAGCGAGCAGTCCTTCGGGAGACCTTATCGGCTACACTACCTCCACGGCTCTCAATAGATCGCTGGACATCACTAGCTATTGATCCCACTTTTCTGGCCTTTCTTTGTCTGTATTGTCTAAGAGGTTTTTGTTCTTCAGATGTTTGACTCAATAGCTGTGATTGAGTTATTTTTTGTGGCAAACTTTCTTCCTGTTTATTAGATCCGGTATTGTTATTGATTGTAACGGAAGAATTTATTTCTCCGACAACAATGTCAAGAGTTGTCTCCTTTGATTCAATTAAGTCCGCTTCAGTGTCACGTTTACTAAAATTATTACTCATATCACTGTTTGATTTGGAGACGGAATCACTCTTAGGCGACACATTGGAAGTCACTTCCGCAGCTTCTCCTACTTTGATTACTTTGGCCAAACCCACCATAATTGGAGAGTTTAGAGACTTTACTTTGACTTCTGTATTATCAACGGTTTCACTTACGGATGAAATACACTGTTGTTTTGTGTCTAAACTTATTTGAGATGCAATTAATGTGGTATTCATTGCATATGTCGTTGCACTGGAAATATTTGAAGCACTTGTAGGGGTATTGCTTAACTGACTATTAGTTACCAACGGTTCCACTTTTATCGGAGGACTAAATGTTTGGTTTGGTTGAGATATTGCAGATCGTTTGGGTTGACTTACAGGCAATGGGCTCGAAGTATCCTTTCGGATAAAAGGAGGCGTCGGTCCGATTGGCAACAATCTCTCACAAACTGGATAATGCATATCCCCTTCATTGACAATTAATTGTTTAAATGTTTGAACACCTTTGGTATCAAAATCACCAAAAAATGATTTCTCATAATGCGGTTCTTTGGATGTCCGCATATCTTTACTCGTGAGTCCAATAGGAAGTAGTCTTTCTTGGGGAGGTTTAACCGGTTGTAGTTTGACGGGAGAGTGTATCTCAATAGTCCACGTGGCCTTTGATACCTTTGAATCGACACTATTACTGCTATTAATGTTTCGCAATACTTTATGACCACTTTGTGTGGCCAGTCTATCGTCGGCGCTTAATATACGAGTTACGTAATTATGGGACTGAATATCAATTTCTTTTGGCTTTATCTGTATTTCTTGTGTCACTTCGTTTGTTTTAAAATTCTTCTTCAACTTTAATGATCCATCGATTGCTTCCATTCTTTGCATTTTAGGTCTATTTAATTTTGATGACTCTTTGCTTAATTGTCCACTTAATCGTTGCACTGGTGGGTGATATGCTGATGACTTTTCCAAGTTATTTATCATTTCATTATCACTTTTTTGGTAATCATTATTAATATCTTTGTTAATATTATTAATATTAATAATATTATTGGTGCTATTATTAATTGTTTCACTTTTAATACTTTTATTATTATTTTCATTATTATTAATATTATTATTATTATTTTCATTATTATTGGACAAATTATTGGACAAAAAATTTAATTTATTGGACAACACATCACTTGGCATTAAATTTTCTTTGACTAAATTTACAAATTTTAAATCACTCATCAAATTATTATTATTTTGACTTTCATCAGTAATATCTACAAGTTTCTCACTAAACCTGTCTTTAAGACTATTATTATCATTATTATCATTACCAGTGACCGCTTCCACTTCTTTATCTACTTCTTCATCGGCATCACTTGAAAATGCACTCATAGTTTCATTGAGTTTTGGCGAAACAGTGTCATTGTCTTCAGTCTGAGAATCAATACTTTGTTCCTGTTCTTGAATTAGTTCCAAATCTACAGAAGCTGTACTTAAGTCTATTAAAATAGAGAAAAATAAAGAATATATTTATAATCTATCGATATATATATATATATATAATAAATTTTATTTTAAACCTCTAGATCTCGAAGGAATAGGACTTTGCATGTGTTCATTAAGTGGACGACATCTATGAAATTGAGCCTCTAATGTATTCATCACAATTTGGATCAACATTTGAATCTGTTTTAAAGTTGACTGTGAATTGTATGAATGCTGTATAAATGAAAGACAAATTAAATAATTAGTTTTACGTTTTTTTAAAAAATTATAATAATTATAGAAAATTAAATATTACTTTGTATAGTATAATGTTAAGTGATGTTAACCACGATTGGCGCACATGTGGCTTAAGAAGCCATAAGGAATAGACTGGCAAATGATTTCCGTCGTGAATGTATCGCTGAGGAGATGGACAGTAAACTAACAGAGGAAGACAAATGCTGAGCAAAATGTTTCCCATTTTTAAGTTAAAGTCCAACACTTTGGGCATTGAAGTGATGAATGCGTTAAATACGGGAAGTCCTCTTAAATTGTTAGGAGAGACAAGAAATGTTTTTTCCGCTGGACTATAGCCCATCAGTATGTTTAGRTGACGTAAAACTATGAGCTGAAAACAAGTATTTATGAAACAAAATAATTTTAAAATTTAATGTTTATAACTTACATGACTTCGTGTCATAGACTTCTCATCGATAGGATGTGAGGGGTCGGGTCGGGACAGGAATTGCATTAATAAGAATATCAACAAATGAATGGTGTCTTTATCGTTGTCATCGATTTCAAACATCTTATGAATTACATTCAATATATGGCTTTCCTCTTGAGCTACTTCTTTAAGTTGGTTATCGTGAAAAAAACTATTAGGAAAATGAGTAATTGTAGAACCGGTAAGTGCAGCCAATTTTGAACTTTTTCGGTTTATAGCCGGTGTCGATGTCTGGCGTCCGAAAAGTTTATCCTTTTCAAATTTTTGGACATAACTGGGTGCTGGCGTCGATAGTGTCCTCTTATATGATTGTTTACGACCAATGTTATTAGAAAGGGAACGGCAGACATGGGTTTGTGCCAAAGCCTCTTGAGCTCGGATTAACTTCTTTTGATAAGTTTCTGAGTTTTGGTTAGTATTCCTGAGATCTCTGGTTTGAGTGATTTCTCCGCTTCGCTCTAAACTGATTTGTGACTCCAAGAAGAGTGCATCGAATCGATTGAGAAAGAAATCCCACGAAAGAAAGCGGCGATCATTTAAATGGTTGTAGAGTTGAAAAATTGTGGTCAATATCATTGGTCGGTCAACAATAACCAAATCAAATTGTACTTCAAGACACCAAAGCAATAGCTTGAGTGATGATGTCTTAATCATTTCAAGATTAAGTAAAGCTCTTTGTGCAACACTGGCCTCAATATCATCTAAACAATGAACTAAATAACAGAAAGCGGTGGCCAATGATCCCTGAAGTAATGGACTATTCTTAACAGTGGCCGGTTCGACAAAATGTGCAATAGTGGTGACCCGTTCAACGGCGGCAAAACGGGCCCTCCAGTCGTTGTGATTTTGGAAGTCTTGTTCGACTACTTTGTAAAACATAGTACTTCCCGCCGGAAGTGTTATACAATGGAGTATAAGTGGAACACAGAGTTGTGATATCTGCGAGAACTCGGACTGCAAAAGATTCCAGAGATTAGGTATTAATAGGTTTTCCTGACACCAGATGAGAAAACCCCTATGATTTTTGGCCGCTCTATTGAGCACTTCCGAGTGCAGACACATTAGTTTTATACAATATAAYAAGTGATATAAGACGTCGGCATCGTTGTAAACACTGACTTCTTTGAGAAAATTATATACTAACTGTTCTTGTAGTGGTAGCTCTTCTATTGTAAACTTAAACTTTCCATAAGATGTTTCCCAGAAGTATTTACTCAAATCATCAAATTTTTTATCAAATACTGAGTCGTTGTCTTCATCTAAGATTTGTGGTGTTGATGTAATAATACATTTGGCTGATCCCACATCCTCTTCAGTAACTATCACCGAACGGGCTATTCCTGTCTCTACAGGTACTAATGGCACAATTGTTCCAGGGTCTTCTTCGATGTCTATAATAGTGGCAGCTTTTAATGTCGATTGATTGATATCGCTAGAAGTAGAATTAAATTCTTGTTGCGTTGCAATCAAATTATTGGTGATTTTTGTTTCAATTGTTGCCGAACTTGTTTTCGACGTCTCTTTTGTTGAGCTGACGGAGTCTGTCTTCGAGACCTTTTCATGCGATGGAATGTTCTGTTTCAAGGAATTATCGCCGGGAATGTCTGCCATCGTTACCTCCATTACAGGACAAATGTATTCAACCATATAAAGTGTCAGCTGATACCAAATGGCACACATTTCGCAGTATAGACACTGTTGTATGTCTTCATCTCCATTGATGTCCACTGGGGTCTCTCGACAGGTATGTGTGCCAATCCATGGCGCGTGAAGAATGTCTAAAATAAGTTTCAATACTTGAATCGCTTCTTTAGTTTCTAAGCCCTTGTGAGTGTTGACTTCTTGTAACTCAAACTGTTTGACCAAAATGTCAAGCATTAAGATATATGCCGTGAGATTCATCTCTTGTTCGTTGACGGGAATGTCGTTAACTTGAAGACGAGTGGCTGACTTTGTCATAACAGTAGAATTGGGATCCGAACTGATTTTGTTGACCGTACAGATAGTATCTATATTTGGATCCGACATTGACTTAACTCCAGTTGAAAACATTGTATTTAACAAATTCAAAGGCACTGGTACTTCAAGCATTGTTAAAATCTATAAATAAAATTATAGTAATTATATACCGGTATATAATTTATTTATCAATTATAAATACCTGAAGCCAACTGAGCGCCTGTTCCTGTATTGAAGCCGTTGTATTTTCAAATCTTATACTTATAAAATGATACATTTGTTTTGGTTGCAAACCAAGAGGTGATAAATCGGGATCTAATACTTTGCTTAACAAAATCTTCAATTCAGACAATTCCTCTTCAGGGACATCGTGTCGGAAACATTCCATCCAAAAGGGCATTATATGTCCCCAAACGTCGGCTGTTATGATATCGTAAGGCACGAGACAAAGCAGTCGTTTGAAGCCTTCTTTGATTTGGTTGGTCTGTGACGGCCAATACTCCCAATGACCTCCTAATCAAGTTTTGTTAAAATATTAGTAATAATTACATTAATTTAATGACAAACATGTCTTACCAAGTCTTGCGTAATCCATAGGATGAGGTAAAAGACAAGAAGTGAAACTATTGAAATGAGTTTTAATAATCTTCATGAGCCACCCGTGAATACATTCGCCTTTTAGTCTCTCGAGAGCACTACTCGCCTGATCATCGGGTAAACAGGCGGTGTAATGAAACCATTGACACAACATACTTAACATACGACCCAATGTGGGTTCTGGTGTTTTTTCATTTGATGTGCACAAACCCACCAAAAGCCATACACCATATCTACTTAAGAGCTGTCGTTCCTCAATAGTAGTCTCCTGATTATCGTCGGACACTTGAAATCCAATTCTTGAATGGCGTTCGCTATCTTTAGATGGTTTGTCCGGTTGGGCCTCTTTTAATAAGCTGACAATAGCTTCAACTAAATAAGTTTGGGTTTCACTGTCCAGATCCCATGGGGACGGTATACTGGTGTGAACGATATGATTGGAGTCTTCAAGGATGGAATGCTTCTCATCATTGCATTGCTTACAATATCTGATGGGTTTATTGCAGTTATAATTAGTACATTCAATGGCAAAACATGTGGCAACGGCTGTCTTCTGAGAGTGCGGTGATTTACATGTCTTGTTCTCACAATTATATGATATCTCTTCCATTGGCAACAATATGTTAAGCAAAATATCTCTACTTTTCCCTCTATATATCTGATCCGTACATTCAATGCATATGAGTAGCGGAACCGGTCTCTCGACTGAACCGATGACTACAGTGTGGTCGACACACAACTTGACCGCTTCATTACTCAAATTGTTTTGACATTTCTCATATTGACAGGTGAGTGGTGTCCAACTGACGTGCTTTTCAGACAGAGCTTTCCTATCCAACGCACTTGGATTCAAGTGCGGCCAATACAAGAACAACAGTTCCACTGCAGCGCATCGGGCTTTGGCTGTACCATAGGCTATAACACAGAGCAGATCTTTGGACACATCGTACTTCAATCGCATCAAACACTCCAAGAGCTGAGTATGAAATGATGGGTTGTCGGCATAATTCAATACAATCATCACTATTGATGGTATCGACATATTTCCATAATTCAAATTATCCAGGTCACATTTCTCATCTATAATCAAATTAACAATTATATATAGAATTTAGTGACAAATAAAGAAATTTACGTAATTTTCAAATCAATTGCAAATAATAAATAGAATATTATTTAAGTAATTATTTTTGAGGAATAAAAATATAATTATTTAATTGTATTAAAAAAATTAAAAATTTCAATAATAAATAGAATAATTGCAAATAAACGATATACAGTATAGTAATTTAAAAAGATTGATTATAATCCTATATATATTTAAAAATCTACACTATTTTTATATTTTAAATTTAAATAACAATTAAAATTGGTTCATGGTAAATTTATCATTTGTCGAAAAATTATTATTTAACGAAATGCCTACCGATTGTAAAGGGAAGTAAATTATAGCAAAGCATATCCAGAAGCTCTTTATGTAAAATAGGCGGAAGTACTGCCATAGCAGAGGCCACTATATATGGAAGCGAATCCATGTACTCGTGTTCAAGAAATGGCACTAAACAGCCCATTGTATGCAAAATTGTTTGGCCGACCACTAGTAATAGATAAACAATGAATTAAAGACTAAATATATAAACAAAAATAATTAAAACAATTACTTTGCATTCCTGTCTGTATTTGTGGCAAAATCTCAAGAAACTGTACGATAACGTAATACAGGTTCTTATAGTCAAGACTAGGAAACATTGAGGTCCGCACGTGATCCTTGTCATGATTTCGGATCAGCTCTATAGGAATGGGAGGCACATCACGAAGTACACTAAAAAAAGCATAAAAATTATTAAAAACTTAAATTCAAAAATTAATATTATTAATAGATCTCACCCAAGAAGTAGTTGAGAGAAATACTTAAGAGTATTGCAAATATCAGTTCCCGAAGGAATTGGAAATACATTGTTAACAATTCTGGTGTGAAATTCTTGAAGATTACGAATTTTGGCCGTAACTGTCATTTAAAGTAGAAAATTAAATATAAATAAAATTATAAACCAAAATGATTAGTGGTTTTTATAAAAAAATAATATGTCTTACAGGCCGCGGCTCGTGTGCCCATTGCTATCGGTTTTAATTATTTACATTTGTGATCATTATATATAAAAATTTTATGATTAAAATTAATAACAAAATTTACAAAATATAACTAATGGTAATCGACAGCATTCAGCAAACAATATACACTTATAATACATTGTTTTATGTATAGTAAGAATATATTATATATCACGACATCTTTGATAACGTGTAAAACAATTTCCAATCCTCTCCTCAATGGTATATATCAATAGCAATGCAAATATTTGAGTCGACATTAATGTGGGCTCTCAAGAGTTTCAGATAACTCGCACTCTGGCAGCTGATATCAATACATTAATATCGATCGCATCCCTGTGCGCATCCTATACTCTATATGCTATGAAATGTATACATTATATGATTAATGTTTGAAAAAACAAAATATTTGTCTACAATGTTATGATTCATTGACTAATGAAATCGTTCATTAGATGATAATAACAAATAGTGGTTTCAAATTTTAATTTTTTTCATTACATTTACAACTTTTACAGTAATTGTCACTCTCTTTCTCTCTCCCACTCACTTTCCATCACTTTTACTTACTTTCACTCTTTTAGAAAAAAATTGTTTATTTTATTTACTCTTTTSTCAGTTATTTATAGAAACAAAAGTTAAAATAAATATTTACATATTAWTAATAATAATAATCCAATAAATTTAATATACACTAAAATCAACAAAAAAACTTAAATCAGTGTATTCTTAACGAAGACAATGATTGACGAGATGTCAGAAAGCAGTGAAATGTATGACATGAAGACATCAGCTCCGGACTGGCATATAATCTGAACCGATGTGTCGCTGGCGTTCACGAGTCATACTGACAATCATATTCTCCTTTTCGTGATATATCATAACTTTACGGGTGGCCAACACAACCGCAAGCACCCAACACACTAATAAAGTCCATATACCAAACTGTTCAGTAATGAGAAGCACAGTTAGATTATAAATTAGACTAAAATTAGATACCATTAATGATTACCATACCTGAACTGATCCCAATTGCACGAAAAATCCCTTCGGTTCAATACCTGTATCCTTGCCGATCACCATAACACCTGAGGCCGTCTCACATCTATGTAAATGTAAATTAATATCATTGAAAATTAAGTGTAATTTTTAATTAAAACCAAATAAAATAGAGAAAAAATACTTACGAATCAAACCTTTGAATCAGTGATTGACACCAAACTGAAAATCCTTTTGTGACGATCACAGCGTCGGCCAACACAATGACAGTCATTGTGAGGGCACTAATGGTCTCCACAAACGCTGACAGAAAAGTGCTGTCAAATAAAACAATACATCCCTTCAATAAAATTATACAAATTTAATGACCGCATAAATGTTGGCCAAACCTGTCGACGCCTTTGTAAAGCTTCATAAACTTGCGTATCATCTGAAAGAAAGCCATCATAAAGGCGATGAGTCCGACGGCCAAAGTGAAGCCGCAGTACGCCGTCGACGCCCAGTTAGCCTCAAATCTGCCGTCCTCTTCAATGAACTGGCCGTCGGTAAACAACGAACAATGTCCGCAAAAATTGTAGACATGAAGACTCATCGGAATCCACACACATAGAGATACAGTTGCGGTCACCGTATATACAGCCGATTGTGACAATAGTAAGACATTAGAAGTGATGGCCATCGCGACCGTCAATCGATGTAATTGAGGCCAAAGTCTGTAAAATGTTTGTGTTTTGTCTATCTTTTTGATGATTACTTAAGAAATGGTATGAGTTTTGGTGTCATTTGTGTTGTTGTCGACAATCAATGTATACTTCAATTCAATCAATCAATCAATCGATTGAATGTCAAAACATTTGACGCAAAACACAGTCCATGAATAACGTGACAAACGGTTAGGTCTGTCGTCACGTAATATATGTTTGATTCGAGTGTTTGATTGAGTGTTGCATTCGATTAGCGCTTGAATTACAAGTGTTTTGTTTAACCAATAAATTGACCGCCAATTTGACCAAACATTTGACCACCGATTTCATCAAACATTGTTTGTCCTATTGATCACTACAAACACTGACACAAAGTCAGACAACTGTCCACACAAACAATGGAAGACCCAGTTGTTAACGAACCGCAAGTGGAGTCCACGGCTGGCGATTCGGGTGTCGTTACTGACGATCACTCGAAGTCCGATGCGATTGCCGATCATTCAACCGATGCGGACAATATTACCGATGCAATCGACACTACGACTAACAATGATTCGGTTGCGGATAATGAGACGGCCAGTGCCGACATCGAAATGAGTGAGACGAATGAGGCGCCAAAAACTGCGGCAGAAGACGCCGAACCAACAGTGGCCGCACCGGTCGATGAAAGCGGTGGCGAAGAGCCRATTGCAGAGCCCGTACCTGATGTGAAGTCACCGGCAGAGATAGAAAAGTCTGCATCGCCCGCACCGGCTATACAATCGTCAACACCGCCGCGTAATCAGACAAAGAAACCTAAGGTTGACTTGGCTTCAGTACCGGTGCGCCAGTATTTGGACACAACTGTTGTCCCGATTCTGCTTCAGGGACTGTCGAGTCTGGCCAGAGAGCGACCGCAAAAACCCATCGCATATTTGGCGCAATTTTTAATGGATAAGGCGTCTGAATATGACGAGTGATGTCAAACAATTGACATTCACTGCTATTATCACATAAATTGTCTTTTATTTCAATTAATTTCAAAAAAGTCATGTTTTAATTATATATATAAATATATATCTATTTGTTTTTAATTATAATTATTAATAACGTGTTTAATACTAAATATGAGTTTCATATTTCATTTTATTACACATTTCATTAGTTAAATTTGTGATTTTAATATTTAATATTTTGTTTGCTTTCACTTTATATTATTTTGATTTATAAAACAAAACAAAAAAAAATGGAAATTTGTATTACAATGAAATTGAATTTTTWAAAAATAAAGTTTTATTATTTTAGAATTACTGTAATATTTGCAATCAATAGATTTAGTGGTTAATAATAATAATAATAATAATAATATCAATACATAAATGTATATTTGATGTCCAATAGATGGTGACAATAGTGAGTACAGAATATAATGTATTTGTAATGTTTTGTAACAAATTCATGACATTCTTCAATGTATAAAGAGATGTAAATTTTTACATATATTGATGATATAATTAGCTATTGTTTGAAAGCATATATATTGTAGTTTTGTCACTAATATATCATTGAACAATACATGTATATTATGTTACATTTTCAATAATAATAATAATATACTGTATTTTAGTATTTTCAACAATAAAATACAATTTGTGATATAATTTAATAAATTATATGCAAAAATTCTTTAAATAATGCATTTATTTCAGCCCAAATAAGTTTCAATACAATTATATATGTGTTTGTATGGCATTTGAGGCACAAAATTATTAGCAAAATAAAGTCGAGAAATGCATTAAATGTGAAGTTTTGCGTGAATTATAGACACATTATATACACAGTCACAGACATATATACATATATTTTTGATATGTGAAAAGTAATACATTACTAAATGCTATATAGTATATACAGTATATAAAATGAACTTAAGAAACAAAAAATCTATTATAAAAAATATAATACCATATATATAGTATAACTTTAGTATGTAATTTACAGTATATAGCGTAGCTTATATTAATATAATTTATATTATTATATTATATATAAAATATATTTATATACAGTATATATATTTATGTGTGAGTCTCTAATAGTAATGGTAATATAGACAGAAAAAATCTACTACTGTGTATATAATAATAATAATAACAATTATTATTATTATTATTATTATTATTCAAACTATTGTGTTTGTTTAAACTATTAAATAAAAATCATTTAAATACATTATTTTGTTATAATTAATTATGTATTTTACTAATTGACTAATTTTATTGCTAATTTTCACATTAACTAATATAATTAAATTATTTTTTACTAATCAATTAAATCTAATTCTTTGTAATTATTATTTTTTAAATTTATAATTAAAATCAATTTTAAATTTTAAGTCTACGTTTTATCGATTCATTTATATATACTGTATTATACAATACATTTTTTATATTTTGTTTAATAGTAATAATAAACTTAACACAAGTATATTAAGCAAATAGTTGACTGACATAACATTGAATAATATGCTTACAATATATTTTATGATATAAGAAAAGACAATAAAATAGTAAAGCAAATGGAGATAAAAGCGGTTTTTTGTAAAGGGTTTGACTTTAATTGATATATAGAGAGAAAGGAAACCATAATTTAATAATGATGTGAAAAGTGATAAATTAGATGAACAAAGATATAGACCAATGAAACACAAAATATAGTTAAACAACTAAATGTTGGAAATGCTTCCTATGATATAAGTGACAAAAAAACTATAACTTCAAACTATGTCTTTCTTTAAGTCAATTGTATGTCGACTTTGCTCTCACAATGAACTCAATAATCAACACAAATGGTAGGTCTGGGATAGTAAGTGACAGACAGAAAAAAGTAAGTGAATGAGTGGGTAAATGAAGAGAGAGAGAGAGAGAGAGAGAGAGAGAGAGAGAGAGAGAGAGCAAACATGAAAGTTATGACTTCCAATATTATCTCTTAATGTTTGATATATTTTTTTATGTCGTTAAAGTTTTACAAAACTTTTTTTTGAAACATTTTGTAGTGTTTTTCATTGTAAGCCATTTTAAGTTTTTTTTTTATCATTCAGTCTTTTACAGTGTTATTATTATCCGAAAAATGAGTTTTTAGTAAAATTTCAAATAAACTTTTAAGTTAAATTATCTCTCTTTGTGTTAATATATTTTATGAGTTTTTATGTTGGTTAATGCTATCTTGTGAACAATGAAAAGATATGTAAACAAAATCATATAAAATGATGATTAAATGAGAGATAAAAACGTTAAATAAATAAAATAACAAACATAATACACAATACATAATATCATAACAGTATTTAATGTTATGATATGCATAATAATTTATTGAGTAATTTATGAAAATTAATTGCAACAAATTTTATATGCATATAATGAATTAGTAAATCTATATAATATACTACCATATATTTTATACATTATATTAAATATTTTATATAATGTTTATTAGCTATATTAGCTAATTAAATAAATTTATTAATGGCATGCAATAATTTTTTTTATAAATATTGATATAAAAAATGTTAATTTTATTTATGATTTTTTAAATGGCAACTTATTACAAATTATAATTTACAATTTATAACTTAATTATATAAAGAGCTCATAAATAAATGTGTAATATTCAAAATAAATATAAATAATTTATACATTATTATTATAATAATATTTGAATTGTTTTTTAACTTAAATAATTAAATAAAAATTAAAATAATTACTAATTTGTCTATTGATGTGGTGAAATAAAATTAAGTATGTGTTATTTAATTTATTTATATTATTTAATAAATTTTGTAACATTTAGTATACAATAATTTGTTATTTGTTGAAAAATAAGACATATAATTAATTGAAAACTAGAATATAAATACCAGTATATTAATTAATTAAATATTTTTGACAACTATTGAAGCGTTAATTTTCTTTTAAGGTATTGTTTAAACTAATAAAACAGTCTATTATTAAAACAGAGATCTCAACTCATCTAATGTGGTCTATATTTATGTCAAAAAATGAATTATATACTAAACTACGACACCATTAATATTAGCACATTATTATTAAATATTATTATTATTATTATTATACTCTAATATTAAACGTATATTATATAACAGGAAATTACATATTGAAAGTAATCGGAATCGTTGTGATCTACCAGTGCTTCAAATACTGTTTTTATGATTTTCTTATATGTATTTCCCTTGAAAATTAATATTTAATAAGATTTTACTATAAGATTATTTGCTATATATATATATTTTAATGAATAAATAAATATATTTTTTCTGCCAGTTTTCAATTAATTACTTTATAAATAAAGTACTTAATTATATAACTTATGCAATATAAATTATTTATATTTACTAAATTTCAGTATATTTATATACTACAGAATATACTGTATATAATATATATGATAATAACAATTTTAATTTAACTTAAATTATTTTCAATAAAAAGTTAAATGTAAATTTGAACTGATACTTATTGCAGATACATAATAAATAATACATTATTTGACATTATATTGACATGACATTGGTAAATATTAGATTTTACACATTTGTGCCAAAAAATATTTTTGCAAATTAATATAGACATCAAAACAATGTTCATTCAATGATTAGTTAAAGCATTCATAAAAATTAGCAACGATTGCAAATTGTCTAATAATTTGGTCAACTCTTTTGTAATTGTAATTGAGATAAAAGGCAGTGAAATATTAAAAACTAAATGAATGAACAGTCAGTCATTGTCTCTGTTGAGACAATTAATGTTTATTTACTCATTAATGTCACGTATAATGTCTTTAATAAATAATATAATATCACGTCTAGTAATTAGTTTTAATCACATTGTCTATGGTTTAAAAGTTATATATAACTTATATTACTTTTTAGCAATACTAAAGATAGAGTTTTAGTCATTGAAAAAGTACTGTAGTTGTGTTGTTAGGGACGGCATAATATGAAATTGATTGGACGTAAAGATGCGACTATTTTCAAGACACTATGATTAAATAAATATGAATTGGTCTCTAATAAAGAGATAAAGTGCTAAAAAATTAGGAACTGTTGTATTTGGAAAGTAATGTTTTGGATCCTTATATCTATAGATTGTAAAACATTGACAATTATATAATAAAGTGAAAAGTGATTTTAAGACAAGCTGTTGGTCAACAAACAAACAATGTTTGACTTAGAAAAGTGATATTACAATAACAGTGTCATTGAGATAGTGGACGTCTGAATGTATGTGTACTGGAAATGCTTAAAAGTTTGTCTCAATATATGTATGAATGTATGTATGTATTGGTACTACAGTTGAGAACAGCATAAGTGATGCCAAACCAGAATGTGTTAGCTGTCAGTCATTTTTATTCCGATCAATGGTTGTCATAGAGACGGAAATGCATTTGAGGAGAGAGTTTAGGGAATCGGTAGGGAATCGGTTGGGTTTTGTCCCTAACTTTCCTTTTAAGCACACAATCGTCAAATCGCTACCAAATTCCTATATATCTGACACAACAGAGGAGAGGCAGAAAGTAATACAACGATATATTGAGAGCCCATAGTTTAACAGTAATACCAGGAGTGGGAACAACACAATAGTGAAGAATCAGCGAAGGATTCCTCAGCGATGAGAACAGCCATTGAAAGCGCCGTCAGTTCACAGCATTAAAGCCGGCAAACGCTAGCATACTATCCATAGCATCCAAGTGCTCAGTTGTATGACTTAGAATAGAGGGAACGGGCGTATAAAGAGAGGTCTGATTATTTGAGAATCCAAACACACTTTGTCTCCACTGTAGAGCACAGGAAGGCATTCATTCACCACAACCGCCCAATCGATATATGCATTCATCGCTATTGAAAGGGTAAGTCAAACATTTCCCAACATTTCAAACGTGCCGTCACTCTAATGCTTATACTTATACTGTAAATACCGATACATATATGATATGATAAATGTATGAATGAAATGTATATTTTCAATTACAATATTATATTT